TTTCAGAATAAATGCTAAATAAACCACTGTTGGCTGTTGCCCACTCCTTTTGCAGCCGGGGGAGCAAAGGTCAGAGGGTCAACCCTTAAGGTGCATCAGCCTGGCAAAGGGCGGCCTGGCCTTCAGGACCCACGCCCATCTGCCCATCCACCCGTCCAGCCATCTCATTCCCCACTCCTAAACTGGCAGCCTGGCAGCAGAGCACAACTGATGCTATTTTCGTTATCACTCAAAATCGCACATTTGAGGAAAGATCAGGCCCTCTTTCTTGGCCTTCAGTGTGCCTGGACAGACCATCATGAGGCACAAGATAGTTGGGGAAGGTGTCTCCATGCAAAGGAGCAGCACCTATGAGTGAGGTGAGGTGAGGAGAGGTGCTGGGTGGGGCAGTGGTGGGGAGGAGACTGCTTAAGAGGCAGGGAGTGACTCGAAGCCAAGGAGGCAGAATTCTGCCTGGAACAGACAAGATTGCAGACAGTGAAAGGGAAAACTGAACTGTGAGGTTGCTCTGGACTTGGGGCTTCGGTGGGAACTCACACAAGCATTAGATATAAAGATGCTTTGGGCCAGCGCAATGGCGCAAGTGGTTAAGGTCCTCGCCTTGCATGCCCGGGATCCCATATGGGCACCAGTTCTAATCCTGGCAGCCCCGCTTCCCATCCAGCTCCTTGCCTGTGGCCCGGGAAAGCAGTCGAGGACGGCCCAAAGCTTTGGGACCCTGTACCTACGTGGGAGACCCGGAAGAGGCTCCTGGCTTCAGATTGGCTCAGCTCCAGCCATTGCGGCCGCCTGGGGAGTGAATCAACGGACAGAACATCTTCCTCTCTGTCTCTCCTCTCTGTATATCCGCCTTTCCAATAAAAATAAATCTTTTTAAAAAATAAATAAGTAAAAATTAAAAAAAAAAAAAAAGAAAGAAAGATGCTCTGGGCCTGGTGCGGTAGCCTAGTGGCTAAATCCTCACCTTGCACCTTCAGGGATCTTATATGGGTGCTGCTTTGTGTCCCTGCTGCTCTACCAGTTTGTGTCCTGACTGCTCCACTTCCCAGCCAGCTCCCTGCTTGTGGCCTGCTTGTGGCAAAGCAGAGGAGAATGGCCCGAACCCTTGGGACCCTGCCCCCATGCAGGAAATCCGGAAGCTCTTGGCTCCTGGTTTCAGATTGGCTCAGTTCTGCTGTTGCAGCCACATGGGGAGTGAACCAGTGAATGGAAAATCTTTCTCTCTGTGTCTCCTCTGTGTATCTGCCTTTCCAATGGAAAAAAATATTCTAAATAAATCTTTAAAATTAAAAAAGAAAGAAAAAGATTCATGGACGGCTCCACTGAATATGCCACTTCCAAGGTGGTACCTGCTGCAGAGGTACAAGCAGCCGGGAGGGGTAAGTGAGGGCACCGACAGACCCTGAGATCAGCGGCCTGTGACTGCACAAGGCCTGAGGAGTCCAGGTCAAGGAGATGGGCCTCAGGACTCTCTCTGCCTGGCAGGTAGTGCTCCCTGACGCAGGTGGTGCTCCCTGACACGGCTGGTGCTCCCTGACGCGGGTGGTGCTCCCTGACGCGGGTGGTGCTCCCTGACGCGGGTGGTACTCCCTGACGCGGCTGGTGCCGAGTGGACTCTGGGGTGAGGGAACCTCGCCAGGACTCCCTTCCAGACGTTACGGCTACATGGGAAATGCCTCCGTGGGTGGGAATTGCCATCTCAAGTCAGTGTTCAGGAGTGCTGGGGTGTCAGAGTGAGCACCCACTCCACGGGGAGTTTGTGGTCTGGACTTACAAAACAGCAAGGCGCAGCCGTTACCAAAGACTCGGGTGGGGCCCACCTTGCGCTGCCGAGGGGAGGTCAAGCTGCCTGCTGCAACACTTGCATCCCTTACGGATGCCGGTTCAAGTCCCAGCTGCTCCACTTCCTGCTAAAGCTCCTGCGGAGGCAGCAGATAAAGCCCCAACTACTCGGACCCCTGTATCCACTTGGGACACTTGGATGGAATTCCGAGTAGCTGCTGGCCCATCCCTGGCCATTGTGGCCATTCAGGGAATGAACCCTAGGAAGGAAAGTCTGTCCCTCCCCTCTGCGACTCTGCCTTTCAAATAAAAATTAAATCCATCGTTAACAAGAAAGTAGTAAGGCAAGGAAGGAGGGCATCGAAGTGTCCACAATTAAAAACAACATTCACATCCATGACAGCTTGGATTCAAATCTCTGTGACTTTCTGTTCCTCCATTTTCTCAGCAATAGGATGAGGATCGGGCTGGTATTTTCTTCCCAGGGTTCTTAAATACATGGGTTTAAACTACAGTGTTTTGAAGATTGTCTGGGACATCATGAGTCTGGTAAGTGTGTGAGAATCAAAAAAAGAGTTGTGGGAAATGAAGTCACAAATAGGCTCATGGCGGGGAAGGGGCAAGGACAGAAAACACTGGAATCACACCTCCCACTTTTAAAGATGCAGCCATGCAATTACAGGCAAGTGCTGCTGCTTCTCCTGGAGCTTTTGGGGAGTCTAGCTCACCTAAGTGAGCTCTGAGCAGTTAACCACAGAGCCAGAGCAAAGAGCCAGGGAATGTCTCCTGGGCGGCCTCTGCATGAGAGAGCGCCCCCCTCCAGAGCAGCCTGCTCTGCTCAACAGCGACACCTACAGGTCACTCCCTCAAAGACAGCGCCTCATACCCCAACCTTGGCCAGCTCTCCCAAAGGCAGGGGAGGCGCTGCCAGGCTCGGGCACCCAACCACAAACGGCAAAAAGGCAGAGATGTTGTGCAACCCGCCTCATCCACCTGGGAGAGCAAACTGCCTCAGCAAGGATCCGCATGCGAGATGAGAGATCCCATTTTCAACAACCAAAATCAAGAAATACAAGGGGTTTTCAAAATGGCCATGGACAATGCGTGTTATTTTTTTTTAAAGTATTTTACAATGTTTTGTAACACAGTAAACTATTAATTCTATTTTTTCCCATAATTTTCTTTTTTGAGAGAGTTTATCTGTTGGTTCACTCCAAAACCAGGACTCAATCACTTGAGCAGTCACCACAGCCCCCAGGGTCTGCATTTAGCAGGAAGCTGGAGCCTGGAGCTGAAGGCAGACATCAAACCCAGTGTCCTAGTATGGGACACAAACGTCTTAACCAACAGCCAAGTATTCTTGTGTGGGATAATTCTAAAAGTTATGAAGAAATTGAATGAAATTTAAAAAAGAAAGAAAAACAACAAAAAATGTTAAAAAGTAAAAAAAATTGAATGAAATAAACTTTAGAGTTGTACTAGGAACCATAAAACTTTGAACAACTCAAGATAAATATATATTGCTTTTAAAACACTGGGATATTATAAATTAATTTTTCTCCATTTGTAAATTTAATGTGATTTTAATTTTTAAAAATCCCAAGTGACTGCCTTATCAAAAGACAGAAAATTATTTTTGAAGTTTGTGTTTAGGAAAGTAATTATTTCAAATGTGGAAAACATCACAGTGGCCAAATTTATTCTATCCCCACGATCATGCGACTTTTACAAGTTTTTTCAAGTATTATTTTCCTACTTAAAAGGCAAGAGAAACAGATCTTCCATCATTCCCCAAATGTTGGCAACTGTTGCTGAAAGGCAACTGCAGAGATCCTGTTTTTTGTTGTTGTTTCTTAAAAAAAAATAAAAGATTTATCTTATTCATTTCAAAGGCAAAATTAGAGGAGGTTGGAAGGTTTCAGGAGGACAGATCTATCAACTGGTTCACTCTCCAAATGGCCACAATGACTGGAGCTAGCTCATTGCCAAATCATGAGCCACGAGCTTCTTCTAGGTCTCCCACATGGGTGCACTTCGGCCATCTTCTACAACTTTCCAGCACATTACAGGGAACTTGATCAGAAGTGGAGCAGCCAGGACTTGAACCAATGCTCATGTGGGATGTCAGCACTGCAGGAGGCAGCTTTAGCTATCACACCACAGCACTGGACCAGATACTATCAGCTACTTTCTTCCCCAAATGGTCACAATGGCTGGGGCTGGGCCAAGTGGAAGCCAAAAGCCTGGAACTCCATCTTGGGTTTCCCTTGTAGGTGGCAGGGCACAAGCACTTGGACCATCATCTGCTGCTTTCCCAGGAGCAAGCAAGGAGCTAAACAGGAAGTGGAACAGCCAGCAGTTGAACAAGTGCACACAGGGGATGCAGATATCAGAGACAGCAGCTTAACATGCTGCACCACAACACCAGCCTCACCCTTCCTCACCTTGAGGATGAGCGATTTCCAACAACACTGCTTTGGCAGGGAAAGGGCACCCCTGCTTCCATCTCTCCCCACCAATGCCGGAGGAAGGTAATGCAAATGAACTCTCCTTGTGGGGATGCAGGGTTCCTACCTCACCTACAAAGGTTTCCTTTTCCTCCCTAGCCTGTTCTGTGTAATATACCTTAAACGAAGCAGCAAGGCTGAGCAAAGCACAGGAAATTCAGGGTCAGTGTTGGGTTAGGCCATCAACTGGGACACCGGCACCAAATACAGGCGAAGTCCCAGACGAGCCGAGTGCTCCTCTTCTGACCCGGCTCCCTGCCAATACACCTGGGAAAGCAGCAGAGGATGGCCTGGGTCCCTGGGCCCCTGCAGGCTACACGGGAGACCCAGATGGAAGTTCCGGCTCCTGGCTTCAGCCTGGCCCAACCCCGGCTGTTGTGGCCGTTTGAGGGTAAACCTCTGTCTCTGCAACTCTGCCTTTCTAATAAATAAATCTTAAGAATAAGAAAGAATGGAAAATTTGGAAAACATACAAAGCTGACTCTGAGGAACCTCTGGATCCAGATATCGGGATGTCTTCTGCCTAGAGACAGTCGAGTGACAGGGCATTTCCACACCTCTGCATGATCAGGCCTGCCCAGACCAAAGCATGCAGGGTTCTGAACTCCTCCAATGCAAATCAGCCTCTGTCTTTTGATAAAACAGTAAACAACTCAGAACTACTATAAAAATACCCAATGACTTTCTAGAAATCATGCCTAAGTAGTGAGGTAAGTTGTGAAAAATTTATTCTGACTTAAAAAAAATGAGTCAGGGCTTTGAGGTCACAGGGGGATTAGTCACTGTCAGGTTGCAAGGCACGTTCAGCTGGAGTGTTCATCTTCTTCAGACTCAGCTATGGGAATTCCTGCGAGGACAGTGAGGTCGGCCTCTAACGCCTTCACTGAAACTTGATTCCTTGGGCCAGAGGAAGGTCCTTGCTGTAGTTGATGGTGCTGGGGGCAGAAAGACGCAGTTCAGTGAATGATAGCACATGCAGAACACACAGTATTTTCATTCCAGTAATAAAGTAATACAGCAGATCTTTTTCTATTCCCAAAGTAAAATGTCTAAGTTATAAAGTGATGGGAAAAAAAACAGGGTATAAAAGCAATATTCATATGGATCCCACTTTAGAGACACACACACGCACAGAAGTCTGGAAAGACACGTCACACATGTATGTGCTCGTGGCTTTCATTTGAGTGGAACATGAGATCACATTAGCAGTAACTTTGCCCTCTATATCTTGTTTAAGAATTCCAAAGGCAAATACTAGTGTTTTTATTTAATAGAAATAAAGGAAAAGTATCCCCATTAAACGGATTCCAGGAAAGTCACAACTCAGTGTTTGCCTGAAAAGCTCTAAGGGGGCACGGGAAAGGAAAGAGATGTGTGTGTGTGTGTGTGTGTGTGTGTGTGTGTGTGTGTGTGTGTGTGTGTGTGTGTGTGTGTGTGAGAGTGTGTGTGTGTGTGTGTTGGATGAGCTACGGTGGGAAAATCTCAGAACTGCCCAACAAGAACACTGCAGCTGTAGCCACGATGAATTAAGGCTGAGACCCCCACAATCAAAACCTGCAGTCCTTTTCAGAGACGCTGTGGGATCAGGATGGGTCTCCCCATGTGGTACTACCCTACACAACAAAACCCTAAATTTTGAAACCCAAGTGCCCTAAAATCTGAAATATTTCTGAGCACCAACGAAGTGTTGGGGCCACAACATTTTTGGTTTTGTGCTGTTGGCCTTCAGGAATGCTCTCACTTAACGGGTAAAATCTGCACAAATATTGAAAAACACTGAAAAATTCTGAAACACTGTGGATAAAAGAGACTCACTTGGTATTAGCCAAAACGCTTAGAAATGATGGGGGTAAACACTCAACATACATGATACAGACATGACCCCACGCATTCTATTCTATTCACCCAGAGGGATGTGTCTCTACCCAGGCAGGTGGATAATTAAAGCAAAAGAAGTAGGTCGCTGTCAGACTCTCCCAGCAGTAGGCTCCCTGGCGCTGTGCCTGTGCTGGGTAGGTGAGATGCCCCATTCTTGAAGGTCTGCCCATGGTCCCCCATCCACTAGCAGGGCCTGTGGGCCCCTCTGTCTCCAACCGTTCTAGTAACACAGATGCGGTAACTGCACCCAAGGAGGAAACTTAGAGGAGGCTCTGCATCTACAGGAACCCTGCAGGTTCTCCCATTTCATCTGCCTCAGAGAGATCGCCACCAAGGCAGCACCACAGCTGGGTACAGAGAACCAGCTGATGACGCTGGACAAGAGTAACACAGATGGGCACGCTAACAGGAGACAGCCCAGTGAAAAGACATAGAAACGGGCCCGGCGTGCTAGCCTAGTGGCTAAAGTCCTTGCCCTTGATTGTGCCAGGATCCCATATGAGCGCTGGTTCTAATCCCACCAGCTCTACTTTCCATCCAGCTCCCTGCTTGTGGCCTGGGAAAGCAGGCCGAGGACAGCCTAAAGCCTTGGGTTCCTGCACTCACGTGGGAGACCTGGAGGAAGTTCCAGGCTCCTGGCTTCAGATTGGGGCAGCGCCGGCCATTGCAGTCACTTGGGGAGTGAATCATCTGACGGAAGATCTTCCTCTCTATCTCTCCTCCTCTCTGTATATCTGATTTTGCAATAAAAATAAACAAATTTTTTTTTTAAAAAAAGTGCATAGAAACACAACAGAAAGAAAAGTGTGAAACCACGTGCCCAGCCTCAAGCCCACCAAACTCCAGACCCAGACCCCCACAGCCTGTGCCTACCAAGTGGATCTTCTCATGTACTGTTTCCAGGCGTCACTGCCGGATTCCCTGCCACCGCCGGTGTGCTTTTCTCCTCCTGGATAAACACAAAACAATCACAAACCTTGTAAGCAACTTTCTGTACAAATGGAATGAAGGCCCTCAAACAAGATCACCACTGTAGCATGGTGGATTAAACCACCTGGGACAGTGCCAGGGATTGAGTCCAACCTCCACTTTCGCTCTAACGTCCTGCTGGTGCACACTTGGGAAGCTACAAATGATGACCCAAAGATCTGGCTTCCTGTTGCTCACATGGGAGACCCAGATGGAGGTCCAGGTTCTTGTCTTTGGACTGGCCCAGCCCCAGATGTCGCAGGCATTTGGGGAGTTAACCAGAACAAGGAACATATCTCTCTCTCCATGAAACTTTGCCTTTCAACAATATATGTATTTTTTTTAAAGAAAGGAGACCAGAGCTACCTGACCAATACAGTGTGGTTAGCCCGAAGCATCTCCTCAAGCAAGCAAAGGATTATAAGTAGCCTAGTCTAAGAAAACAAAGAAGACATAGAGATATGTCAGGGTAAGAACTAGCAGAAACACAATTTTACTTTTTCATTTACATTTATCTAAACATTCTAATTCCCTACACATATACTGCTTTTATAATAGTTATGAGACACTAACAGTACCATAACAAGAAAAGGTCACTATTTAAAAGCACATCATTAGAGTCCAAGAAATAAGTCTTGGTGTTGCTTCTAAAATACCAGAGGAGAAAATGTCAACACAAAGATTAAAAGGAAAAGTCGGGAGCTGGCACTGTGGCACAGCAAGTAAAGCCTCCACCTGTAATTCTGGAATGCCATAAGGGCGCTGGTTTCAGCTGCTCCACTGTCGTTGGGATCTGGGAAAGCAGCAAAGCACCCCTAGGGCTTGGGCCCCTGCGCCCACACGGGAGACCCAGATGAGGCCCCCGGATCTAACTGGACCAACCCTAGCTGCTACAGTCACTTGGGGCATGAACTAACACATGGATCTCTCTGTCTCTCTCTCTCTCCTACTCTTTCTGTAACCCTGCCTTGCTAATAATTTTGTTAAAAAAAAGGTTAAAGAAATCTGTCATATGGAAAAGATTATAAAAATATGAAAAATAGGAGGGAATAGATAAAACCAATCTAACTCTTCCTCTTTGAAGCAAAGGTAATAATAAGGAAAGGTCCAAAAAAAATGGAGAGAGGTAACAACAGGACAAACGGGGCTACATTCAAACGGAAGAAATCTAGGAATAAAAACATAGAAAACACAGACAAACACCTGGCCTGGCCGACAAGCAGCTGGGTGGGACACGGACATCGGATACCAAGCAACTGGTGTTGCTGTTTGCTTCGTTCCAGCATCCTACTGATGGGCACCTTAGGAGCAGCAAGTGACAGCTGAAGCAGCTGGGCCACTGCCCCCACACAGGAGGCCTGATCTAAGTTCCTGGTCTCAGTTTTGCCCTGGCCGAGTGCTGTCACTACAGACATCTGGGGAGAGAACCAACAGGTAAAGTTTCTCTCTGTCTCTATCTCTCTGCCTCTGAAATAAACAAAATACAGAAATCAGGAAAAGGTCATGTCAGAAAGCTGAGTGCCAAGACCCTTATGAGGCCCATCACTAGCCAACCTTGTCCAAAGAACAATTTAAAAATGGTGAACCTGCCACCTGGGATGCTTACACCCTAAGAGACGCCTCACTTGTGATTCCAGTCCCTGTTGATGTACACTTTGGGAGGTGGCTCCCAGCTTTGGATCGGCTCAGCTCCGGCCGCTTCCTCTCTGTCTCTCCTCCTCTCTGCATGTCTGACTTTCCAATAAAAATAAATAAATCTTAAAAAAAAAATACCAGAAAAGAATGTCCCTAATTAAACTTTAACAAGTATCAATATATGCTGGCTTTGCCTCTATACTTTTTATAAAGATCATATATTATACCCTGCTTAGGAATACTTATAATAGATAAAACTTACACATGATTGTTAGAAAGGTATTTTTATAAAACAATTAGTAGGGCCCGGCGCGGTGGCGCAAGTGGTTAAAGGTCCTCGCCTTGCACCCCCGGGATCCCATATGGGCGCCGGTTCTAATCCCGGCAGCCCCGCTTCCCTTCCAGCTCCCTGCCTGTGGCCTGGGAAAGCAGTCGAGGACGGCCCAAAGCTTTGGGAATCTGCACCCGCGTGGGAGACCCGGAAGAGGCTCCTGGCTTCGGATCGGCATAGTATCGGCCCGTTGCGCTCACTTGGGGAGTGAATCATCGGACGGAAGATCTTCCTCTCTGTCTCTCCTCTCTGTATATCCGCCTTTCCAATAAAAAATAATAAAAATAAATCTTAAAAAAAAAAAAAAAATAATAGAAAAGAAAATAAAACAATTAGTAGAGGCTGCCTTGTGGAACAGTGAGCCACGCTATTGAGTACACTGTTGGCTTTAATCTCACAAGGCTGGTTTTGGTTACTGCTGCTCCACTTTTGGTCCAGGGCCTGGGAGAGCAGTGGATGCTGGCCCAAGTACTTGGATATCTGCCACGAGTTACTGACCCGAGCTTTGGCCTGGTCCATCCCTGACTACTGTAGCCAACTGAGAAGTCAACTCACAGAAGTTATCTCTCCTCTCTTTTCCTCTCCCCTTCAAAGACACAAAACTTGAAAAAAAAAAAAAAAGACAGAAAGAAAGAAAGAAAAGAAAAAGAAAAAAGGAAAGAAAGCACTATTATTAATAAGTATCAACAGCTCACAGCTTCAGAGAAAAGAAAAGTAAGGCTCAGTGAAAACAATCTAGTATTTTAACTACTGAAAGATAACATATTTCGTATTTATTATGCCCACTTTCTAACTTTATTTGTTTCTCAATCTTGGGACTCAGCCCTCAGACCCTCCCCAGGTGAAGGAATCTGGCTCTGGCTGAGATCGCAGTGGAGAGCATCAACTTGAGGGGTCCATATGGCCTGAGCATCTTCTAACAGGAGATGGATCACCCACAATTACTTCCAAGTGCAGGCAGGGCTTCAGCGTCTTGGCCAGAGTGTTACTGCTTTCCCTTTGCTGCCTGGCATGGACAAGGAGAGATGAAGCTTTGCCTACCAAATGCGCCTCCGATCTCGGCCCCACTCGTCGGGATATTCACGTTTACGATGCCACAGTCTGAACCTCGAGGTCTGTGCATGAGGCAACCACAGTGACAGCAATATGCAGGAACATTCGAGAAACAGAACAAACAAAAATAGATAAACACAAGGCCCAAGTAATCAAAGACTCTCAACCCCCCCCCCCCCAAAATGGACTTTCAGCTGTGATGGTTTGCTTTTTACATCCATTCATTACAAAAATCCACCATACACAAAGTTTCAAAGCAAAGTTATATACCCAAGCCAATGGAAGATCCTGCCTAAATCCTTGGTAAAGATGCTACTGGAAAGACCCTGTTTGACTTCATTATTCCAGGCAAAGACCTCTTCTTCATCCTGAAAGAGCAGAGATGGGAAGGTATTAGATGTTGGTGCTCAGATCAAAGTTCACGGACATCAAACTCCTTTCATCGGATATACTAATATAACTTTAGTGTACCAAAAAAACAGCCAGCACACCATACTTGAGTCCTAAATTAGAATATGGGTTCAAGTCTAGGCTAATATAGTATATATTTTTTTTCTTTTTAAGGATTTGTTTATTTTATTGCAAAGGCAGATCTACAGAGAGAAGGAGATTCAGCCAGAATGATCTTCCATCCGCTGCTTCACTCCCCAAGTGGCTGCAACAGCCAGAGCTGAGCCAGATCCGAAGCAAGGAGCCAGGAGCTTCTTTCGGATCTCTGACGTGAGTGCAGGGTCCCAAAGCTTTGGGCCATCCTCTCCTGCTTTCCTAGGCCACAAGCAGCAAGTTAGATGGGAAGTGGGGCTACTGGGATAAGAACTAGCACCCATATGGCATTCTGGTGCATGCAAGGCGAGGATTCAGCCACTGAACTATTGTGCTGGGCACAGCTACCTTACTTCTAACCTTGCTCCGGCTGATGTGTCTAGGAAACAACTCCAATAGCTGAGTTCCTGCCACCCATGTGGAAGACCAGATGGAGTTCCTGGCTCCTGTTCTCAGACTGAACCAGCCTTCGTTGTTGTGGGTATTTCACAAATGAATCAGCAAGTGGAAGACCACTCTCCCTTTCTCTCTGTTGCTCTGCATTGCAAGTAAGTAAATAAATAACTCTGTAAAGAAAAAAAGGGAAACCAAAGAGTAAGTCAACACTTTACTAATTCCGTGCTTCTTCTATAAATAAGTAGAACTCCTGGGGGGAGGAGAGATGAGATTTTTTCCAATTATACTTTCAGAAACAAAGATTAGTACATTCTTCCATTAAAATTACTATATATGAGAGCTAATAGTTGTTCAGCTCTGATTATATGCAATACACTAATCTAAGCACTTAACATGCCTCTAGTTTCCTAACCTTACCTTATGACACAAATTTTATACTGGTTCCAATTTATTAATTAGGCAACCGAGGCTCATGAGGCTAAATAATTTGCTTAAGAGCTCACAAACACAAACATTACAAAATACTAGATTATATTCTCCGAGCACCATATGTGAGACACTAATAGACAACTTAAGGTAAGATATAAAGAAATCTAATTATATAATTGCAGTAAAGTACAGTTCTCACCATCCTGTTAATAATTGCACATTTAAACATTGATTCAATTTCTGCCATCCTAATCCTGAATATTTACTGACAAGATAAAGACCCATCACATGAGAGAGTTAATTCTTCTGTTACAACCTGCACCACTGTCCCCAGCAAAACTGACAATGACATATCTTCATGCTGTCTCCGGATTTTCTTCCTGGTCTACTGACTTTCACACAGCACTCTGAACTATCCAATCCTATATCCAGGAGAAATGGCCTTCATGGTCCACACACAGGACACAGGAGATGAGGGCCACCTACTCCATCACGACCAGCGCTGCTCCACATCCAGCCTTGTTCTCCTGGCAACTGACCCTGGCAGGCTTCATCATTCATGTGTTCATCCTTTCATATTTTACCCCAACCTACAGATCTCAATGACTTCAAACATCTTCCTCAAGGCCAATCATTCCCCCCAGTCCCATTATTTGTTTCAACGCCAGACTAGTGAAACCGAATCCATACATACCTTGAATTTAAAAACGTACAGAATTGGAGCAAAAGTTTCTGTGTGAGCAATAGCTGCATCATGGGCCAGGCCTGTGATGATCGTGGGCTCTACATAGTTGCCAGGACGATCCATAACCTGAGACAGAAAAGGAAGGTAGTGGGACAGAAAGCCTTTGGTCTTCGATGGCAGCAATCCTCAGCCACATTTGACAGAAAAAAAAGCAGAGCATTTGTAAGCGAGTGATTTCTCCAAGGTAACTTCTATTCTTGAATGAAAACAATCTCTTCTGTTACTTGGTGGTAGCTTAGACGGTCAGGGGGAAAAAACAAGCAGTGCCATGAGTGACAACCAAGTTACACTGGAAAAACACCACGGCAAGTGGTTATTTTAAAATTTGCACAATTTTGGACCAGTTCAATGGCTCAATGGCCTAATCCTTTTCCTACAACCGCTGGCATTCCAAATGTCCCACCTGTTCCATTTCCTATTCAGCTCCCTACTTAAGGCCCGAGAAAGCAGAACGGTCCAAAGCCTTGGGACCCTGCACCAGCATGGAGACCTGGAAGAAGTTTCTGGCTCCAGGCTTTGGGTCGGCTTAGCTCTTGTCGTTGCAGAGTGAACTAGCAGATGGAATGCATTTCTGTTTCTCATTCTCTCTCTCTGTAAATCTGCCTTTCCAATTAAAAAAAATTTAAACATTTGTGTAACTTGAAAGTAGGTAATCTATATATTCCATTATGTTGCCTCCTGCGCCCTCGCAAAACGTGTATGGTTGAAGCGCTGTGCTCAAAGTAAGTACATTTGCAATAGGATTTAAAGATAATCATGTTCATTAATAAACAAGATCACTGACAAGCAAGGTCATTAGGGCAGAACCCCCAATCCAATAGGATCAGTGTCCTTTTTGGAAGAGATAGAAAAAGAGGTGATATTTGCTTGGAATAGCAACATCTCCCATCAGAGCCCAGGGTTTGTCTCCCAGCTCTGCTTTTGATCCAGTTTCCAGCTAGTGTGTGCCCTCTGGAGGTAGCAATAATGACCCCAGGACTTGGGTCTCTGCCACTCAACATGAAAGACCCAGACTGAGTTAGCTTCGAGCTAGCCCAGCCCTAGCTGTTAAAAGCACGTGAGGAGTCAATCAGTGGTTGTAAAATTTCTCATTTAAATACATTTTTTAGAACTACCAACAAAACAAAATAAACTTAGGAAAGTTATGGGCATGGCTTTTGCAAAGATCAAGACAACAGAGTCCTACAATTCATATAGAAAACACACTGGCTGTATATCAAAAGCATCACACAAACAATTGCAATGATGTGGTTAAAACCACATGCTTAAGGTATGTACTATTTCAATTAGAAGCCTTGGATGACTTCTTCAATTAACATGTAAGTATGGATTCTAACTAATCTGGACACAAACTCTTCCACTGCCTCAGGGAAATGAGGTCTCCTTTCTACACAAACTCCCAAGGACCCAACTTAGTAGCCCCAGGACTTTGGTTTTCTAGGGTGACCCCCAACTCAAAAAGTCCCATGCATTTATAAGTCATTCTTTAAAATATTTGCATCCCCCTTAAAGCCAGCTGCAGAAAGGGATGTCTTAGGGGCCCAGAGCCCAGTGGGTGCGTGGGAGAAGAGGAACAGTCCCACTACAAAGTCAGGGTGTTTACTACCTTGCCTCCATAGACCACGGTGCCTCCTTCTTTCTTTGCTTCTTCCACCGCTGCAAGAAACATGCTCACTGCTTGTTTGGTGTGGAGGGGCCCATACAGAATGTCAGCTGGAGAGAGAACAATGCCTTTTACTTTGCCCTCAGAGGCATCATGCTGCTACTCTAACAACTTTCCCAACGAACAGGTCAATCCTTTCTTGTGTCCTCTAGCTGAGGGCAGGGATGGGCCACATTGTACTGTTAAAGCTTTGCACCCCATTCCTGGCCTCTGTCAGTCCCTTGGCTCTGCCAGACTAGTATGAACCTGCAGACGAGCAGGTGTGGCTGTGTGTGACAAAACTATCTTCATAAAAACAAGCAGCAGGCCAAATGTGTCTGCCAAGCCTGGGTGTATGGAAGTAGCTCTCACCTGGTCAGAACACTGCATTAAACATACAGGATGGGTTTATTCAGGATGGTGAGGCCATTCTGTAGGACCAGTACGGTCTCAATGCCAGGCATGCATTCCCACCGTGGGAGGAGACTGATGCTGCTCCAGGTAACTGCCACTGGCAACACGAGCACAGAAGGTGCCAGGAAGACAGAAGGAAAAGGAAGACTAGGGTAAGCCCCTGGAAGGAGCTAGCCCTGCAGCAGAGCCAGGCACGGGGAGAGCACGCCCGCAAGAGGGCAAAGTCACAGAACAGGGACTGCCTGAGGCACCAAAGGCAAGCTGGTGCATCCAGGGCTCACATACACAGCTGTGACAAAGGCACGTGCAAAGCCCAGTCAGACAGTAGGCAGTGCAGGAGGCAGAGGACAGGTCACATGGAAAGGAATCAGCGAGAAGTCACCTGAGTACTTTAAGCAAGAAAAGGAATTACCTGACTATATATACACATATATATTTTAATCACTTCCTGCAGAAGCAGGGAAGTCAACAAAAGGACTCCGGCAGCTTTTATGAGAGTGGACAGCGGTGAGCTGGATGAAGGCATCAGAAGAAAAGAAAAAATGTACAACTCTCAGCCACCTAAGCAGCACCTCCCAGTCTCACCCCCAGGACACTAACTCAGGAGCCAAGGCGTCACCCCAAGTGCCCAAAACCTGCTTTGCAAGCCTCCAACCCCTTAGCAGAGGGGGGAAAAACTCAGAAGATGAAACGGTCGTAACCCCAGCTGTCCAAACAAGAGGCTGTTTGGCAGGATACTCACGGTCCCATGGATTCCCGACTCGGATCTGCGCATAGGCCTTGGTAAGTCTGTTTACGACTTCATCATGGATGTTTTCATGCAAAAACTAAGTAAAAAGAGAAACACCCAAGGGAATTCAAACAGAAATACATCCATTCTCAAATAATGAGAAACAATTAAGTTACTGAGATATTACTATCTCTGAAAACACAAGCACTTAAATCTATCTATCATAATAACATATTTTCTAATTTTGGTATTAATTACATGAAGCTCATCTCTTCTGGCAGACTGAATGAAGCCCTAATTGTATCTTCCTCGAGTCTCTCAGGGTCTTAAGGCAAGGCTCCATGAATCCATGACTCCTGTTCGTGTTCATGGCATCTGACATCCTACTCAGAAGAGTCTTAAAGACAGACATCCTGACCTGACACTTGGATTTATAATTCTTCATATTATTGTGCCTGACAACGGGTTTATCAGAACAGAACCCCAATGGAAGCAGAGGAGCACACACCCGTCCCAGGCTGTGAGCGCAAGCACATGTGGGTGGGCACAGAGCACAGCAGTCTGGCCAAGCAACTGCTGTGAGTACCTGGACGCCCTGAGCCTCCAGCCCCATGAGGCCTCGATCAGGTGAAGACACACCTTTCATTCATTGTGAAATGGATCTGAGCTCTGTGTTTCATTCTCAATGTTGAAAGGGAACTTGCTGGGGGCCCGGCGCAGTAGCCTATTGGCTAAAGTTCTCGCCTTACACACACCAGGATCCCATATGGGTGCAGGTTTGTGTGCCAGCAGCTCTGCTTCCCATCCACCTCCTGGCTGTGGCCTGGGAAAGCAGTTGAGGACAGCCCAAAGTTTTGGCACCCTGCACCTGCGTGGGAGACCCAGAAGAGGCTCTCCTCTTGGCTTTGGTCAGCTCAGCTCTGGCTGATGCAGCCACTTGGGGAATGAATTAACAAACAGAAGATCTTCTCTGTCTCTCCTCCTCTCTGTATATTTCACTTTTCAATAAAAATAAAATAAATCTTAAAAAAAATAAAAGAAAGAAAGTGAACTTGCCGGGACCAGCACTTTAGTCTAGTGGCTAAATCTTTGCCTTGCATGTGCTGGGATCTCATATGGGCACCATTTTGTGTTCTGACTGCTCCACTTCCCATCCAGCTCCCTGCCTGTGGCCTGGAAAAGCAGTAGAGGATGCTCCAATGCCTTGGGACCCTGCACCTACATGGGAGACCTGGAAGAAGTTCCTGGCTTGGGATCTGCTCAGCTTCAGCTGTTGTGACCACGTGGGAAGTGAATCAGTGGATGGAAGATTTGTTTTCTTTCTATTTCCTTCTCTCTGAATAGCTGCCAAATTCAACAATCACAATAAATGGCAAACAGTTCATTTGTACCCAACTGATACTTGCTCCAGCTGGCTTCTTAGTACAATGAAAATCATGAAAATCAAGATTGCATCTGACATCAGACTGAAATCCACCTCAGTCTGTGAAAATTAAACTTCCCAAGCCCTGCACATTGAAGCTGAACATCTTACCCAGGTACAGTACTAATCTGTCCAGTCCACAAACACACACTCCATGTCACATCCACTGAATCACTTATGTAAGGCCAGAAATTTAAATTCAAACTAAAATTTAAATTAAAAATTACTCTAATGTAAAATTTAATTTGCAAAGTATTTTATCATAAAAATAAAAATTTTAACAACTTACATTAAAATTTAACATTTAAAATGTTTGACTACTCAGAGTTTTTATAAAAGAACAAGGCTTTTGTTTAGCTAACAGTTTTACTAGGATGCTTCAAATTTATAGCTTGTTTTATTCTTTGAGTGTCACTGGATTTGGTCCGTGTTTTCTCAGAATGCAAATGAAGGTAGGTGTCAGTGGCAGGAGAAGCTGTGCTGGCTTGGGGAGGGAGACAGGCAGAGGCCCTGGATGAGCGACAGTAGCGTCACAAGCACATAAGACAGAGCACCAGGGCTGCCTAAGGGAGCGCTTCTCTCCAGCAAAGGTCCAAGGCCAGCCTCACACATCCACTCACCAGTCGCCTTGCCGTGGTACACCTCTGGCCAGCTGTCCCCACGGCAGCAAAGAGGGCTGAAGGGACAACCAAGCTGAGGTCTGCATCTTCAAAAGCTGAGAGAAACACAGATGGGCAGCTGTCAGCGGGACAAGATGGGAAGACAAGGTACACACTACTTCAGGAAGCGCAGCAGGTGGGCGCACCAACCTCAGCTGCAGAAGCAGGTGGCATGGCCATGCATGTTGAGAGCGGAGGACTCAGAGGACACAGCTCTGGGCCTCACTTGGATTCTGACCTCCCCCTCCTCCTCCCTGGCTTGCTGCCTCTCACCCGTCCGTGCCTCCCCTGTGGACTCTGGGAGAAGCCCTCTTGATTCATCTGTCCCAGTCTGAACCCCATGGCCTATTTTGACAGCAGCCTCTCTTGACCGCTTCCTCCCCTTCTCTGCAGGATCCACAGTCCCATCCACATTCATTTCTACCTTGTCTGTCCCTCCTCCCCTTCCACGTGCACTCTGATTCCTCCTGGCACTTCCCCTCAAGGTCTTCAGCCATCCCTCCGATCTGACAGTGTTCTCAGACTAGGATGATGATGAAGGAGATGGTGTGCCTCTTGGCCGCGTCTGTGACCTTTTTCATTGTGTTAAGGTTTCTTGTTCGGACCCGTTTCTGCTGCTGTGAACTGGGGTGACTGTCTGACTGTCTCTGCAGTACTATGGAATAGCAGTGAGGAGGCAAGAAAGAGCTGCGCTCTCAGGTGGCCAGGAGACACAGGCCAGCCTGTCACTGCAGGTACACCATCATCAGAGGACAAGCCTTCAATGAGAGTCACCGAAGCCATTGGGGGGGGAGATCCAACGAAATCATGTACATAAACCACCTGACAGAAACCTGGCAGAAACCTGGCACTTAGCAGCTGATACAACGAAAGCTTCACCACATACATCTGAAACCTCTGATGTCGATCACAAACATACATGTTTAAACACAGTGATGAATGCAACACGAAATGAGCAATTTTCCCCTTTCAGCACCCAACTGAAGGTACTTCTGTTCAGTCTGTCCACTGTTGTTCATGGCATTATCCAAGTTAAGCTGGTACACTATTTTCCTTTTGTGTCAAACTCTAATGGTTGAAAAAGAAATGGAAGCAATTTTTTTAAGCCTCCCAAAGTAGGAGCACTGAAGGAGTGGGCAGTTTGCCTTAGGATTAAGATGCCAACTGAGATCCCCTTGCTCCACATATCAGAGTGCCGGGGTTCTAGTCCCCACTCCGGCTCCTTGGGAGTCAGCGGACGGGGGCTCAATCCTTGGGTCCCTGACACCCAAGGGGAAGACTTGGACTTGATTCCCAGCTCCAGCCTGGATCTGGCCCAGCCTTAATGCAGTTATCTGAGGAGGGTACCAGCAGATGGGAGCTTTCTCTCTGTCTTTTTGCCATTTAAATTAATTCATAAAAGCAATCAGTACTTCTTTAAAGAGAAATATTTCTCAAAATCTAAAGGAATCATCAAGTCACCTAGGAGTTACTTATTTTAGAGAAATAGGTGACCAAGGAAATAAGAAAAGGAGGAACACACAGCACAATGCCACACGACAAGGGAAGTCACACACAGGCTCAAAGCCCCAAGGAATGTTTTCCCAATGCAAATAACATTGTTCCCTGCCTTCTCAGCTTCTGCACCTTTAAAGTAAGCCTGTGAACTGTGTCCACGGAGGGAAAAAAAAAATCCTAAACATGGGAATTAGGATCTAGGATCACAAAATAAAGAAAGTCTAAGTTCGTAAACAAGTCCTGCATATTAAGTATAGCTACTAGGAGTTTCTGAAAACACAAAGCACAGCCTTACCAATAATGGCATTGTTCCCTCCAAGTTCCAACAAACTTCTCCCTTGACAAAGAAATCACAAACATCGATTAATTCCTGTATCAGTATTCACTGTACACTGCTATGTGGCCTCAAATTGCAACCTATCCTAATTATTTTCTAACTTATTTTCTGTCTTAAAATGTATCTCCCGTATGGATACAGGGTTCCAAGGCTTTGGGCTGTTCTCAGCTGCTTCCCTAGGCCACAGCCAGGGGGTGGATGGGAAGCAGGGCGGCCGGGATTAGAACCAGCACCCATAAGGGATCCCTGCGTGTTCAAGAAAGGACTTTAGCCAGTAGGCCACCATGCCAGGCCTTATAACCTTGATTTTTTAAAAATTCCTATATTTTTAAAGGAAAAGCAAAATATATGCAGATTAATTATTAACATCTCATCTTAACACTGTTTATAGCTGAAATTTAACCTAACAGCCCAAAATATTATTACCCTTAAATCCTGCTTAAACCAGTCATAAAGTAAAATATGAGAAACTGTCTGGGGCTGGCATTGTGGTGTAGCAGGTAAAGCTGCTGCCAGAGATGCCAGAAACCTATACTCACACCCGTTCAAGTCCCAGATGCTCTATTTCTGATTCAGCTCCTTGCTAAGAAGCCTAAAAAAGCAGTGGAAGACAGTCCAAATGTGTGGATCCCTGCACCCATGTGGGAGACCTCCAGACCAAAGTTGGTACAAACGGTTAGGTGTTTGACACAGCAGTGAGGACACTGCTGGGAGGCTGTGTGCCATAGGAGAGTGCCTAGGTTTAAGTCCCAGCTCCATTCCTGCCAATGTGATTTGGAAGAGCAGGTATTGGCTCCAGTATCTGGGTCCCTGCCACCCATGTGGGTTGCTTAGATTGAGTCCTGGGCTCCTGGTTTCAGCCTGGCCCAGCCTGGCTGCTGTAGGCATTTAGGGAATGAAATCGGCATATATAAGATCTTTCTCAGTTTCTATCTCTGTCTTCCAAATAAAAGAAATTAAGTAAATAAACTTGCAAAAGCAAAAAAGAAAGGTGACTAACACTTACCAAATCGTTCCTGTACCATCAGGGCCACCTGCTTCCCCACCTGTGTGCTCCCAGTAAAGGACAGTAGGTTCACCCGCTCATCTCTGGCCATTGCTGTGCTGCAGGAAAACAGACACGGTCATCCAGGCCGAACAGCCCAGCAGCCACAGCCCCCAAGGACACCCAACAAGAGAGACGGGCCTAGGCCTCTCCAACAGCCATCAATCAAACTGAAAAGCATATGTATACAAGCGGAACAAGGCAATGTTAACTAGGAAAATAAAATCAATCTTTCACAATGCAGAGCCAAGCATCCCCCTGGGGGAACATGCTCTGCCAGCTGCTGGGAACAAAAATCACCCACAGGATGGGGCTCAGTACTCATTACCTTTCTGGACTGACTGGGGGGCTGGTGAAATGCTTGAAGCATTGTCTGGCTAAGCATTCAAGCTGTTCAATCTCCATAATGAATACCGAGGGGCTGGTGCAATGGCTCAATTGGCTAATCTTCCTCCAAAAGCCAGCATCTTTCATGGGCAGTGGCTCATGTCCTGGCAGCACTTCCCATCCAGCTCCCTGCTTGTGGCCTGAGATAGCAGTAGAAAATGCCCCAAAGTCTTGGGACCCTGCACCTGCATACGAGACCCAGAAGAAGCTCCTGGCTCCTGGCTTCAGGTAAGCTCAGCTCCAGCCGTTGTGGCAATTTGGGGAGTGAACCAGCAGATCTTTTTCCTTATCTCCCCTCTCTGTAATTCTGCCTTTCCAATAAAATAAAATTTTTAAAAAGAGAAATAATTATTTATTTTAGTTGTTTGAAAGGCAGAGTGACAGAGAGAAAATTCTTGCACTTGTTGGCTCATTCCCCAACTGCCTTAACAGTTGAAATTGGACCAGGCTGAAGCCAGGATCCAGGACACCGTCCGACACCTCCTGGGTGTGGTATCAGCTGCTGTTTCCCTGGTGCATCAGCAGGGAGCCAGGTCAGTTGCAGAGCAGCTGGGATTCAGCCTGGCACTTCGATGTGGGCTGTATGTCTGCCAAGTGTTGGCTTAACTAGCTGTACCACAGTGTCCACCCCAAGCACATAGCTTCGTGATTTTTTTTTTCTTTTTTCATGTATACTTTTCATGAACTTCGTGTGTTTGTGTGTGTGTGTGTGTGTGTGTTTAAGATTTATTTATTTTTATTGGAAAGGCAGATAGATATACAGAAAGAAGGCAATACCGAGAAAAAGATCTTCTATCCGCTGATTCATTCCCCTGGCCACCAACCTACCCGATATCCGCACCACCGCATGTGAGGGAGCAAATGGCACCAGGCAGTTTGTTGTCTTCCAGAACCTTCGCGATTATCCTAGAAAGGAGAAGCAACCCCTGAGCAGGATACTCATTTAACTTCTGAAAAATAAAAATAAATTCAACCACTAGGCTCTACTTTTTTAACTTCTTCTCCCACCATTTGATCAGGGGTGGATTTCTCCTAACATATTAAAAATGCGGTCTTCTGGGATGGGCACAGTGGTGTAGCAAGCTAAGCCTCCGCTGAGGTACCAGGTTCCCATATAGACACTAATTGGAGTCCCAGGGGCTCTACTTCCCATCCAACTCCCTGCTAATGGCCTGGATGAGAGGTAGAGGGTGGTCCACGTCCTTGGGCCCCAAAGCCATGTAAAAAACCCAGAAGATTGTGGCTACTAGCTTTGCACTTGCCCAGCTCTGGCAGTTGTCATTCAGGGAGTGAACCAGTGGTGGATGGAAGACCACTCTCTCTCATTTCTCCTTCTCTCTCTCTAACTCTGCCTTTCAAATAAAAAATAAATTAAAATGAGGTTCTCTTTTTCTTTTTTTTTAAAGAGTTATTTATTTATTTATTTATTTATTTCAAAGCCAGAGTATCAGAGAGAGACACACAAATACACACTGAGCTCGTCCATCCAATGGTTCACAACAGAGCTGAGCCAGTCTGAAGTCAGGAGCTTCTTCCAGGTCTCCCAAGTGTGTGCAGTGGCCCAAGGCTTGGGGCCACCCTCTACCGCCTTTCCAAAGCCATAAACAAGGAACTAGATGGGAAGTGGAGCTGCTGGGACATGAACTGGTGCCCATTTGGGATCCCAGCACTTCCAGTGAGGATTTAGCCCCAGAGCCACCACACCAAGCTCCCTCCCCTTTCTCTTTAACCCACTTTCAATCCCTAAGCCACTTCTCCTAAATGATAGTCAAAAGATGGAGCCCTGGAAGAAGCTCTAGCCCATGGCTTCAGCCTGGCCCAGTCCCTAGCATGGTGACCATTCAGGGAGTGAGCCTGCAGATGGAAGATCTCTCTGTCTCTCCTGCTCTCTCTGTAACAGCCTTTCAAATAACTAAACAAATCTTAAAAAAGAAAAAAAAAGGATGCTCATATCCCACACTGGGCCTAACTCCTGAGTTTTAGCCACAACCTCCTTGCTAAGGCAGACCCTGGGAAGCAGCTGTGATGGCTCAAGTAAATGGGCTAACTTGGGAAAGTTGGCATGAGTTTCCAGTTCCCATTTTCAACCTTGGCCAACGGCAACTATCACAGGTACTTGGGGAATAAACCTTTCTCTACCATCAGATAAACGAATAATAGAACAATAAAATCTCACTTACTTACAAACCCTACCACAAGCTCTCTCACAGTAACTCCAACCAGAGAACACACACCAAGTGATGGTATATCGTGGGTGCACCCTTACCTTACTAACATGGGAAACATTCTTTTGCATGCACCTGCTAAATTCTGGAAGTATAAATAACTAACGCCAACCTTACGACATACTCAGAGCTGTCAGACTCTCACATACAAGTAAATAAAATCCAAAAGTGGCCAGGTATTTGGCTTAACAGTTAGGACTCCACATGGAAAGCCTGCACTCCATATCGAGTGCCTGGGTTTGAGTCCCAGCTCCACTTCCAATTCCAACTTCCTGTAATTTGCATCCTTGGACAGGGGAGGAGATGCATGGCTCATGTGCTTGGGTCCCTGACATTCCTACGGAAGACCTGTAATGAACTCCTGGCTCCTGGCTGCCACCTAACCCAGCCCTAGATGCTATGGGCCTTTGGGAAATGAACCAGAGGATTTAAGATCAGTTTATTTTCTATTTCTCTCCCTCTATTTCAAATATGAAGAAAGGAAGAAATTTAAAAGAAATTTAAAAGGAAGAAATTTAAAAGAAATTTAAAAGTTTCTTAGTTAACAATGCAACAGCAGGGCCATCGCCTGCGATGCCACCATCTCACATTGGATGGTGGCTCACATCCCAGGTGCTCGTTTCAAATCCAGCTCCCTGTTAATGGCACGGGAGAAGCAGGACATGGAGACTCACACAGAGCTTCTGGCCTCAGCCTGACTCACTGTCAGCTCTGGCAGCTGTGTGGAATGAAACAGCAGGTGGAAGACCTCTCTGTGTCTCTCTCCCTCTCTATGCAGAACACTTTCAATTCATAAACCCTTAAAAAAAGCAATGTAGTAACTCTAGAAAGTGCTGAACAAACCACTGGATTCAGATAATCACTAATTTGTTTGTTTGTTTGTTTTTCTTTTTCCCCCCTTTTAATTTTTTTTTTCTTTTAAAAAACAGCCTATTAAACAAAAGTAGTGAAAACATTAGCTAGGTATAAATCACTTCTCAAAACCATTACTTTGTTGGAGAGTTCCAAAATAGTCACTACACTTGATGGACTTCTCCACTAGAGATTTTTTAATTTTCCAAGAGGGAAAAATAACTGAGAAAAGTTCAATGCTACGGGCTGGTACAACGGCACAATTGGCTAATCTTCTGCCTGCTAGAGATGGCATCCTATATGGGTGCTGATTCATGTCCCTCATGCTCCACTTCCCATCCAACTCCCTGCTTGTGGCCTGGAAGACAGTCAAGGATGGCCCAAAGCCTTGGGACCCTGCACGCACATAGGAAACCTGCACCCACATTGGAGCTTCTGGCTCCTGGCTTCAGATTGGCTCAGCTCCAGCCATTTGAAGCCTTTTGGGGAGTGAACCAGCAGATAAAAGATTTTCCTCCCTGTATCTCTTTCTCTCTGTAAATCTGCCTTTTCAATTAAAATAAATAAATAAATAAATAAATCTTTAAGGAAAAATGAAACGAGTTGTACTGCCAAGTTCCCAAAGACTTCAATTCAAAGACACAATTCAGAAAGAATTCCATAAACTGTAAAAACAATATAAAAACACTACAGTTTATCCAAAGCTCACACTTTAACAAGCATGGCATCAATAGTTAATATTCCAGTCCTGTCAATCACGCCTTCAGGAGCAGTCCATAGCAAGATATTCATAGACACTCACTTTGTGACAGCCACACTAATGAGGGAGGTTGTTGGGGCTCCCTTCCTAAAGAGAAGAAAAAGAAACAAATTCAATTTGACAGAATTCATAAATGCCTTTAGTTGTCAAGCCTAAGCGAAGGAATTTGGTTGGCTACTTTTATCACCTTCTGTACAGGCAGGAAAACAAGCAGGTCTTACCAAAGGCAGACATTCCCACAGATCATGGCAATGGCGTTGTTCCAGCCGTACACTGCCACAGGGAAATTGAATGCAGTGATGATTCCAACCAGGCCTACGGGATTCCACTGCTCGATGAGCGCATGGCCGGGCCCTGAGGGTGAGGGAAGGCAGGCAGCAGGCTGCAGGTTACTGCACTGCATCAAAGTTAACAAGAACAAAGGCTCAAGTCTTTCCCTTTCAGAACAAAGGCACATCACACCAGAAACAATGCCAGATGCCTCACAGTGGATCCTCACATCCCCACAACACATCGATTCTTCAATCAATAAAGCCAGAATCCACTCGGAACCTCTGTATGGATGAATAACAGAACTTTTCTTAGAAACCTACAGGGGGAATCGGCCTGGCTACTTTGATCCTAGCCAGGTGGCTGCAGTTGGCCACGCAGCGCCTACCACACGGCCCGGGACAGGTTCCAGCCTAGCCCAGGGCACAGTGCTCAGTGGGATCCAGCCTGCCGTGTGTGTGGTTCCTACACAACCCAGCCCTGGCACCTAGAGAATTAAGGAGCATGTTGGAGCCCAACAAGGGGTCTGTGGATACCTTGGCAAGATGGGATCTGACGATGAGGCAAGTGAGTATGCAAGTAGCTAGGACCCTGCTATTGATGCAACAACTTGACTTGATGTCCTGGCTGCTGGCCACTGCCTACTGTGAGCATCCAAGGAGTCTGTCAGCAGATACAACATCTCTGTCTTTCCCTCCTCCTTTTCCTGCTCTATGCTCCTCCTTTCCTTCTCCTCCTTCTCTACCTCTCAAATAAAGAATTTTAAATGTATAAACAATTATAAGATTTTTTTAAGATTTATTTATTTTTATTGGAAAGCTGGATATATGGAGAGGAGGAGAGACAGAGAGGAAGATCTTCCATCCAATGATTCACTCCCCAACTGACCACAACGGCTGGTGCTATGCCGATCCGAAGCCAGGAGCCAGGAGCTTCTTCTGGGTCTCCCACATGGGTGCAGGTTCCCAAGGCTTTGGGCTGTCTTTGACTGCTTTCCCAGGCCACACGCAGGGAGGTGGATGGGAAGCGGGGCTGCTAGGATTAGAACTGGCGCCCGAATGGGATCCTGGCATGTTCAAGGTGAGGATCTTAACAGCTACACTATCGTACTGGGCCCAACAATTATAAGATTTTAATTGGCAAGGCCAACATCAAAGCAGAATAAATCAAAGAGGTTACTTATTTACATGTCAACTTCTTCCAATGGCAGTCTACTTTTTTAACTGGAAACAAAACCAAAAATAAACAAACAAAACAACTCTTGGGAGACCAGCACTGTGGCATAGTGCATAAAGTCTGTGTTTCTGGTACTGGAATCCTATATGGGTACTGGTTCAAGTCCCAGCTGCTCCACTCCCAATCTAGCTCCCTGCTAACGTGCCTGAGAAGACAGCAAAGGATGGCACAAGACCTTGGCAAAACCCAGAAGAAGCTCCCTTTTCCTAGCTTTGGACCAGCCCAGCTCTACGTAGCCACTGGGGAGCAAAACAGTGAATGGAAGATCTCTCTTTCCCTCTCTGAAAACTCTTTCAAATAAATAAATAAATCTTTGGAGTAAAAAACTGGAAAAAGAAACCTCTTAAAAGCATTGAATGACATAAAATTAATCTGGAATAATGGGAATCACTGTTGAGTATCTAATTAAGACCATTAACTGTACATTTATAAGACAACCTTCACCTATTCTAGAAGTATGGAATTTACCCAACTTTCTAAGAAAAACAGAAAAAATATCATAATCCTTTTTTTAATTCTAAAGAAGCAAAATTCCATTACTTCTTGGTTATAAACATGTCATAATTCTCATTATGGGAATTTTAGAAAAGATAGAAAGACAGCAATCACTACCAATAATTCTGCCACACAAAAAAAATCACTGGTACCACTTAGCATACATTTATCCCTTCCCTTGTACCAGGGTTCTTGGCAAAGCTTACAGAAATACAGAATTCAAAACATAATTTGGGGGGCCCGGTGTAATAGCCTAGTGGCTAAAGATCCCATATGGGTGCCGGTTCTAGTCTTGGCAGTCCTGCTTCCCATCCAGCTCCCTGCCAGTGGCCTGGGAAGGCAATCAAGGACAGCCCAAAGCCTTGGGATCCTGCACTAGCATGGGAGACCTGGAAGAGGCTCTGGGGCTCTGGCTTCAGTTCAGCACAGCTCCGGCTGTTGCAGCCGCCTGGGGAATGAATCATCAGACGGAAGATCTTCCTCTCTGTCTCTCCTCCTCTCTGTATATCTGACTTTCCAATAAAAATAAATCTTTTTTAAAAAGTAAAAAAAAAAAAAAAAAAAAACACCCCAACTTGGGGTCCAGTGCAATAGTACAGTAGGCTAGACCTCCACCTGCATAGGAGGGAAGACGATCTTAGCATAGGGCTAAGGGAAGACGATCTTCATAAATATTACCTTCAGTACCTCCTGCTAGTATCACCAAAATCATTGATCTTTTCTGGTTTCACATCTAAGTCATCCGTGATGTTAGTCACTGCTACCACAATATATACCTTTACACAGACACTTCCGTCGCATTTCAGATCACTTAATTAAATTAGATACTTAAAACTAGTTTTAAATTTTAGGCTTTTGGGGTATATTGCTGTGCAGAGGGGTTAAACTGGAGTTCTCCCCTATAGACCTGCCAACATTGACCTTTACCTTTAAAACAAGATGAAAAGGTTCTCCAGTTTAAATATTTGTACCTGTTTTCATTTACATTCCTCAGAAAAATGGCAGATATGTTTACAGACTGCGATGGCCTCTGAACCCCTCTTAGGCAGACTGCTCCCCATCACAGCACAGGGCCGGGAGCCCCGCACGTCGGGGGACAGACCACAGCTTCGTTGATGGCACTGCTTACTTTCCGAGGGTAGCACGGGTCCCCCGATCATGCGTGATAAGCCCACGGCATAGTCACAGATGTCCACATACTCCTGAACCTCTCCTACGCCTTCCACCAGGATCTTCCCCATCTCCAGGGACACCTAAAAGTCAACATGCCAAACAGAATTCAGATCTGAAATACGAGACTCAAGGATAAGACAAGATGTATTTTGTGCCTAGCTTTAAAAAGTAATAAATTGAAGAAAGTGTTCTTATTTTCCCAAAGGCTTTTAAAAAGCTGACCCTTTCCTCATATTTTCTTGTAACACTTCCTCATCTTCCCTCTATAGAAAGGATTTTTTAAAATTTACACACTGCTTTCCCTAAAGTCAGAATCTTAGACACAGATGTGTGACAGATTATTCTTCACTCACAGGGGAGTAGGCATGCAGCACCACAAAAAAATACTTTACCAAGCGTCCCAGGACTTTAATCTTTTCCCGCAGGGCATCACCAATCTGTCTCACTATTTCTCCTCGCTTTGGAGCAGGAATCTAAGAAAAAAAAAATAGAATTCTAGTATCTGATTCCAAGTATGAATTTCTGTCCAAAACACACAGTGCCAGATGTGTGCCTTAAAAGAACAAAGTAGTTACATCAAAGGCCTATCTGATGATACCAAGACTCGGGGCCGGCAACACATATGGGCACCAGCTGCTCCACTTGTCAGCCAGCTCCCTGCCAATGTGCCCAGGAAGGCAGAAGACAGCCCCAGTGCTTGGGTCTGTGTCACCTGCTTGGGAGCGTCAGACAGGACTCCTGGCTCCTGGTTTTGACCTGCAGCAGTTAATTTAGGGAGTGAATGAACCAGTGGAAGATCTCTTCATGGGTCTTTCCTTCTCTGTCAACCTGCCTTTCAAATAACTAAATCTAAAAAAAGAAAGACTGGGATACAGCTAGACCAGGAGGCCACCATAGGAAGTGGGACACTGAAGTAGCTGCTGGGAGATAGAGAGGAACAAAGCAACAAATAATTACATGTTGTCATCAGGACCATCAACAAGGGAAACAGGATAGAAGAGGGACAGAGGAAAGAGCAAGCTTAGAGCACACACCAACCAATTAAATTACAAAAAAAAAAAAAAAAATCACCCACAGGAATATCCTTCCCAGGAAAAAGAATAAACACCTAAGTGGGAATCCCTGGAAAACATAAAAAGTCAACTGGGAAAGCTAGTCCAGGCAACCAGAATCTTAACCTAGAGGCAAGGCAGAGTCTATAAGCTGCTCATGCCTCTCAAGTTTGAGAAACAGACAGACAGAGGCTGTCCATCTGCTGGTTCACACTGCAAATGCTCACACCAGCTGGGACTGAGCCAGGCTGCAACCAGCAGCCTAGGACCTCTGTGCAGTCTCCCACATGGACAGCGGGAATCAAGGCACTTGAGCCACCAACACTGCCTCCCAGGACCTGCACCAGTGGGACGCTTGTACAAGCATCTCGATAGGCAACCTGAATGTCTTCACTTGCATTTTATGCCTATATCAGAATTACCCAATCTTGTGCTGGTGGTGTTTTGGATAGTTTTTTTCCCCCTGAAGCCAGGAGCTTCCTCCAGGTCTCCCATGTGGGAGAAGTGGGTGGGGAGGCAGGAGTCCAACCATCTGGGCCATCCTCTGCTGCTTTACCATGACATCAGCACAGAGCTGAATTGAAAGCAGAGCAGCCAGGACTAGAACTGGGAACCACAGTCGGCAGGCAGAAGTTTAGCCTACAATGCCAGTACCAGCCCCTACTGCCATTTCTTTCTGTGCCTGGAAATAGCCAATCCAGCTCTTCTACCAAAGAGGGAAAATGAGGGCACACGGAAGGAGCATCCTGTGCTGAACGCGGTCTGTGAAGGAAAGCTTAAAGTCAGTTTTCCTGCCCAGGTTCGCCATAGTCAAGACAAAGAATTCAAGTTTTATAAATGATGTTTCCATATATTTACACTTGCATTCTATTTCCCTTCAAATATTCCTTTTGAGGGGCTGGCATTGTGCATCGTGGTGTAATGAGTTAAGCCACTGTCTATATTCCATATGGGTGCCAGGTTTGTATTCTTGCTACTCCATTTCCCATCCAGTTCTCTGCTAATTCTCCTGAGAAAGCACTGGAAGATGCCCCATGTTCTAGAGCTGTGCAAGGAGCCAGTAGGACAGCAAAGGACAACTTGGCATAATACATCATGTTTGCCTAAGGAAGCATGACCACAAGCAGCCAGGTCTCCAAGTCCAGAATGTTCCCACTGGCCTCCCAGAACAGGGTCACTCCAAGAACACAGTGCATGCAAGTTTTATATTAACTGAGTCTCATGAAGGCTAAGCATGGTGTTTGGTCTAAAAAATTTATTTGATGTTATAGAGATGTATGCCATCATTAATAATGCTTCTTTATTCATTTGAAACACAGTCACAGAGAGAGGAGCAAGTGGGACTCCTCCATTCACTGGCTCACTTTCCATGTGGTCACAAAGCCAGGAGCCAAGAGCCTCCTCTGGGTCTTCCACATGGGTGCAGGTGTCCAAGCATGTGGGCCAAAGCATCTTCTGCTGCTTTGCCAGGTATACCAGCAGGGAACCAGACCAGAAGTGGAACAGCCTACATGGGAAACTGGTATTGCAGGTGGAGGCCTCACCTGTGTACCAAACACCAGCCCCAAGCTTCCTTGTTTTCACTTTGTGACTACCACAATAAAGGCTAAAGTGTTCTGGGAAGGTTAGTCTTCTTGCATGAAGTTTCTCCATAGCCATTCTTCAAACAAAAAAAAGATTTTTCTGAAGATTTATTTTTGTTGGAAAGGCAGATATACAGAGAGGAGAAACAGAGAGGAATATCTTCCATCCACTGGTTCACTCCCCAGGTGGCCACAACAGCTGGAGCTGAGCTAATTTGAAGCTAGGAACCTGGAGCTTCTTCTAGGTCTCTCACATGGGAGACCATCCTTGGGCCATCCTCCATTGCTTTCCCAGACCAGAAGCAGGGAGCTGGATGGGAATTGGAGCTGCCAGGATTAGAACCGGCACCCATATGGAACCCGGGCACATGCAAGGCAAGGACTTTAACTGCTACACTATCGTGCCAGGTCCCAAACAAATATTATTGAGTGGAGCCCATTTCTTTATGACTTCGAGTCAATCTGCTTCCAGCTGAATTGTCTGTGGCACCCAAGTATTTGGGCCCTAGAAAAGTCTGGACAAAGTGCCTGACTCTTGGCTTCATGGGCCAGCTACTGTGGCCATTTGGGGATGAATCAACAGATGGAAGATCTCTGTGTCACCCTCCTTACAATTCTGCCTTTCAAACAAATAATGTTTAAAAAAGAAAAAGAGAGAGAGAAAGAGAGAGAGAGAGAGAGAGAGAAAGAAAGAAAGAAAGAAAGAAAGAAAGAAAGAAAGAAAGAAAGAAAGTGTTAAGACAATAAAACGTAATATTCCCTTTGAAAATTCCAGGTTTGCCTGAGAACTAAATGAAACAGTGGCCTGTTCTAACACTGGGAAGCCCAGCTAAACTGCTCTGCACTGCCACAGGCAGTTTCTAAAGAAATAACAGTGATTTGATAAGGAAGAGCACACCAGAATCCTGAGTTCACAGACTGCTGGTGCTGGAGACCAAGGTCAAACTGTTGACAACAATCCATAAGTGGACCAAAGTCTAAAACCAAGGCCGAGGCCTGTAGGAGGTCCACATTTGGGCAACAGTTCAGGCCAGAGGACTGTGTACTTTAAGGATGGCCTTGAGATAGCCACAAACTGATTTCTGAACTTGGGCCACACTGCTGCTTCCTGACCATGAAGCACTGGCTGGTTAATATGAATAAGACAGACAGCTATCAAAATGTGTGATGTGGATGCCTGGCAGACATTCCCAGACAGACAAAAGCAGAGGACCTCTGCTTTTTGCAAGAGGTCATGTAAGAGCTGTGCATAGGCCTGGAGTCATGGAAGACCTGACCCCAGAGTCTGATTTTTTTGTTGTCCCTTGGAATATTGCCTGAGCCTTTTCTTACCGCAAGAGAGCTTCTTATCTACCCTGTGCTTATAACTATTATGGGCTATTCTAACCTTGTGGAAGCTCAGCTAATCTGTACTCTGTGCACCTGCTTTCCAACTACTTGCATCATCATGTTTTTGTACAAGTATAAAAACTCCTACGTTCTTTGTACATCATCCTGCGAGATGATGACCAACCTGCTACAGTAATAAAAATTCAGTTCTGCATGGCCTCATGACCTCCATTTATTTATGCCTGACAGTATGCACCACGTCAATTCCTGCAATGACTCCCCAGGCAGTTGAATAAAAGGTTGAGGCAGTGAGATTTCTGGCTCAACCTTTCCTTAAAGAAAGGGGAATCTCGGGTGTAACAAGGTAGCCTAGTAGCTAAGGTCCTCACCTTATACACACTAGGAACCCGTATTGATGCCAGTTTGTGTCCCGGTGGCCCCACTTCCCATCCAGCTCCCTGCTTGTGCCTGGCAAAGAAGTCGAGGATAGCCCAAAGCCTTGGGACCCTGCACCCTCTTGGGAGACCCAGAAGAAGCTACTGGCTCCTGATCAGCTCAGCTCCAGCCATTGTGGCCACTTGGGGAGTAAACTAGCAGATGGAAGATCTTCCTCTCTGTCTCTCCTCCTCTCTGTATATCTTTCCAATAAAAAATATATATATAAACAAATTATTTTTTAAAGGAAGGGGCCAAGCATGGTGGCCTAGCGGCTAAAGTCCTTGCCTTGAATTCGCTGGAATCCCATATGGGCATAGGTTCTAATCCCAGCAGTTCCACTTCCCATCCAGCTCCCTGCTTGTGGCCTAGAAAAGCAGTCGAAGACGGCCCAAAGCCTTGGGACCTTGCACCCATGTGGGAGATTGGGAGGAAGTTCCTGGCTCCTGGCTTTGGATCAGCGTAGCTCTGGCCGATGGGGTCACTTGGGCAGTGAATCATCGGATGGAAGATCTTCCTCTCTGCTGTCTCTCCTCCTCTCTGTATGCCTGACTTTTCAATAAAGATAAATAAATCTTTTTTTTTTTTAAAGATTTATTTTTATTATTTTTTCATTGGAAAGGCGGATATACAGAGAGGAGAGACAGAGAGGAAGATCTTCCGTCCGATGATTCACTCCCCAAGTGAGCGCAACGGGCCGATACTATGCCGATCCGAAGCCAGGAGCCTCTTCCGGGTCTCCCACGCGGGTGCAGGTTCCCAAAGCTTTGGGCCGTCCTCGACTGCTTTCCCAGGCCACAAGCAGGGAGCTGGAAGGGAAGCGGGGCTGCCGGGATTAGAACCGGCGCCCATATGGGATCCCGGGGGTGCAAGGCGAGGACCTTTAACCACTTGCGCCACCGCGCCGGGCCCAATAAATCTTTTTTTTAAAAAAAAAAAAAGGAAGAAAGAAAGAATGGGGAATCTCTTTGACTGTCCTATTCTAATTATCTTTTTCTTGTCTCATATTTTATGCACGTTCCCTCCCTCTCCACCCTGTTCATGCCACTGTGGACAGTGGTATACACCAAGCAGAAGAAGACCCACCCCAAGGAGGAGGGGTCAAGATGAATCCTAGTCTGGGAGGGGAGCTGGCACTGCTAGGCCTGCCAGCACACAGCACACTGCCAAGAGAGATTCAGAATGCGAAAAATCCTGGCAACCAGAACGTGCAATAAAATGCTAAAGGCAAATGCTCTGCCAACTACAGTCTCCAGGTCAAAGCAAAAACAGGCTGAACAGCCAGTTCAGGAAAAGGGAAAATCCTGAACTCCAGCAAGCTCTTTATTCAGATGTTTGTATTTGCCTTGCCATAGGTATTTCTAGTCAAAAATAACTATGTCAAGCTGCATTGGCATTAGCATTCAACATTATGGAAAGACTGGATCCACATAACTTGGTCAATGTTGGCTCATCAGCTGGAATAAAGGTACCATGGCAACGCCAAGTGTTGATAATTGCAGGGGAAGTTTGGAAAGGAGACAAGAGACTGGAACTTTCTATGCTTCGTGCTCAGTATTCAGTAGCTCTACCACAGCTCTAAAAATAAGGGTTTTAAAAAGTGCTTGTACAAGAAAACAATGAGACAATGAGAGTAGCTTTTTAGGTTGGCATAAAATATAATCACTGATCACAAAATCTTACACACCATGGGTCTATGTTTGTATAATCATCACCACTGTGGGGGCAGATTCCTTGACTCCCCATCTCAAAGTGCTGATTCAAGTCCCGACACTTCCACTTCTGATTCAGCTCTCTGCTGATGCACACCCTGGGAGACTGCACACGATGGTTAAGATGCTTGGAACCCCTGTCACACATGTGGGAAACCCAGATGCAGTTCCACGCATGGGGCTTCAGCCTGGCTCAAATCTCGGTGTTGTTTGCATAGCAAACTAGCAGACAGGAGATCTTTCTCTGTCCTTGTCTGTCACTCTGCCTTTCGTGTAGATGAAAATAAATATTCTTTCTAAAACATAACTGTGAGGCTGGCACTGTGGCACACAGCTGGTTACACCCCTACCTCCAATGCTCGCATCCCATAAAGCTCCAGTGAAGTCCTAGCTATTCCACTCCATATTGATTCCCTGGAATGCACCTACGAAGGCAGCAGAAGACAGAAGACAGTCCAAGAAAGCGGCCCCTGTCATCCATGTGGGGGACCTGGATGGAGATCCTGGTATCTGGCTTCAGGAGTAGCCCGAACCATCACGCCCATTTGAGGACTGAACCGATGACGGAACAGCCCTCTGTCCTTCCCCTCTCTGAGTCAGTATCTGTCTTTCAAAATATATGTATTTTTAAAATCACAATTACATAACAAATACACGAGACAAGAAGGAAATGCATCCAAGTTTAACTGCCTTTTGCAGTGAGGAGACTGCAGTAAGGGGTTTCATTATCATGATTTATTCCATCAGGTTTTTTGTTTTGTTTTTTTTCTTAACAAGGAATGTGGATTGGCTTCATGACCAGAAAAAAATGTTTAAATAATAAATGACATTGCTTAAGACACTCTCATTTACCCAGGAAAGGTGAAGCACATAGCTTTTAAGGGTTCAGTTGATGTTCCCTGGAGCTAACACACCCAGAATTAAAGCCGAGGGGAGGTTTCTGTTTTCTGTACAAAGGTGGTCTCCAGACTAAAGACAAAACTGCAGCCTCCCAGAGCTCTCTGGGAGATATTCCAGCCCATCCCCACCCCCAGCTCCTCCCGATCACTGACTCAGCAGCAACAAAGAGGGCAGGGGTTTGCAACTCCCCCAGAAGCACCAAGATGAGAACTGCCCAGTTGGGATCACCTCCAAGTACTTTAAATGATTAACTTCTTTAACCCTAAGGGGAAGCACCTCTCCCTGGAGGGAGAGGGGGCGTTGGGAAATCTCCAAACCTTCTCAGGAGCCCACAATCAGATATGGCGAGCATAGCTCCTTTCCCTATTTGATTAATTATAAATACACTAAATTTCCATGCAGAAAAAAGAGCTTTCACAGCATGAGTTCATGCTGTATCAGTTCAGAACCCTGATCGATTTAAAGCCACTCGCTCACTGATGGCCAACAGCCTAGAAGCTGCAGCCCAGCCAGCCCACATTTCAACAGAGGATCAGCTCTCACCACAGGTGTGACACTGACCTCTTGCAAGCCCCAATCCACCACGTTCATACTTACATCCGCCCAGACGTTCCAGGCTTCTCTGGCCTTCTTCACAGTTTCTTCATAATCAGCGACACTGGCCTGGATAAAGAATTAGGGAGGGAAAGTGACAAAAGCAAAGGCAAGGGACACTTGAGAATGTACAGATTTTTTTCCTTAAGACAACCAAATAAATCTCTGTGTGTTCCTAAGCTTTATGGCTGATGTCCATAGCTGGCAGTTCCCCAAACTGACTACAAGTCAGCTGTGCTGGAAAATCTTTAATTTTATTTATGTTTGAATCCATTACTTTAAAAAGCTGTCTTAAAACACAGCATACAAACCGAGAAGCGTACATAAGTATATAGATCACTGAGTTGTGTGTGTCACCGGACCACAATCACAACCGAAATCACCCACATGAAAGATAAAGAGCTACCAGTAAGAGCCTTGATTTGCAAAGTGAGGCCCCCAGACCTTGTCTGGGAACACTCCAGGAGAATGGGACACACAGAGCCTCAGTCTCCAGCTGGACCCCAGGGACACTAACCTCTCCTTGGGCCCTGACCTCAGTCCCTCTGAGGTCGCCCTTCCCAGTGCACAACCTTCCTATCCTCTCCTCCCCACCCCAGCCCAGAGTGGACAGTCTATCCCAGACATCCTTCAATGCCAACAGCAAGAGAAACCCGTGGTTCTTGGCAGCTCTACCAAAGCACAGCTGTCAACCTGTCCTGATCCGCTTCTGCATCTAAGCAAAGCTTGCCAAGCTTCCTGTGAGTTCCCATCTGAAACTCAAGAACCAACCTGTCAGCTGGAATGGCCAAGTGAGGTACCTGAGCCGATCAGCCGCAGCACCCAACCAACACAAGTGAACACTCAGGAAGGGAGGTCGCAGAGCTGACAGGCGAAAAAGGGGGAGGCGCCCTACTAACAGCAAGTACACTGAGGAGCGGGAGCGGGGTGGGGGTAGACTAACCAGGCAGGACACAGCGCCTGTGCACCTCATGGGACCGATTGGGTGATAACCAGGCAAGGCTGACAATCCCCTTGGAGTAAGCTACAACCAGAGTTTGGTGAGGGTTGTCGCTTAGTTATCAAACAAATGTAACGGGAACAGACTGGCTATATGCCATAAAATACTGTGCAACCAAGGTAGGAGAGATGGCCTGGTTGAGCTTCTTGGGCCGCCCTGACTGGGCTGCAACATCCTACTAGTTCGTGCACAGGGACAAAAGCCTCAGGTGGAACCAGCCAGGCGGGACGTAAGAAGACACGGTGGGCCAGAACCGCCCTGCAACTGCCCGCCAGCTGTTCCGGGCAGTGGGACTGAACGGACCCTTGCAACTAAAACCGAGAATCTGGACAGGAATACCTCAAAATTCTTCGAGGATCTTCCCATTCGAGACAATCCGGAACTCGGACTCCTAACCCAGGGAAAGACAGGACCAATCAAGCAACAACCTCAGCCATCTGATGGCAGCAGAGACTGGCAAATGACCCTAGAACGGTACTGTGTCAACAACGAACTCTTGCAGTTCAATGACAACATCATGATTGGTGCCGAGACAGGCAACGAACCCATGGATACTGAACTATTGAACCACTTTCGAGTACTCGAAGCGCACACCCCACTCCCATCCCGGGACTTGGGGTGGCGGATATTTGGTGGGGCTTCTTCCACTATTTCCCCTTTAGACCTTGACCCCTTTTTTACCCCCCAATAAATTTGTAAGGATTGTCAAAATTTAAATAAAAAAAAAAAAAAAAAAAAAAAAAAAAAAAAAGAACTCACCTGTCGGACTCGTGCGATTGGCTCGTTGTTGGCTGGACAATAGGTCGTTATAACCTTCAAACAAGAACATGACCATTACACACAGAAAACCATTGCTGCCAACACAGCCCACCCTCTGGTCAGAAGAGAGTTACATGCAGACAAATACTGAAAGGCCAGTAAGCAAGACACTGGCCAGGTCTCAGGTCAGAAAGAGAAACCAGGTAAAAGCTGCCTAAAGGACGCTGGCACCCCATATGCTTGCCAGTTGGAGTCCTGGCTGCCCTACTTCATTCCAGCTCCCTGCTGATGCACCTAGCCAGCTCTGGCCCTTGTGGCCATCTGGAGGGTGAGCCAGCGGGTGGAAAATCTCCGTGTCCTTGCCCTTCTCTGTCTTTATGCCTTCCAAAAACATACAATAAATCTTTCAAAGAGACAGTGTGAGTGAAAGAAAACTCAGATGCAAGAAAGAAGACCTCCGGGAACGAGTATTTTACCCAAGAATCTAACAACTTGTGCCTCCAAGAAAAAGAAGCTACAACTCTCAAGAACAAAGGAGTTTGTAGGATCATTAAAATCGCCTCCATGTGCGACAGTCTGGGGCCACCTAAAAAAATTAGTGTTTCCTTTAAAAGGACAGATGCATTAGGTAACAGGCAATAAAGTTACTTCACTACAAAAGTTTTCTTATAAATGTGGCTGGCTCTCTTAAGGGGAAAAAGAAATCTGGACGTAATACCCTGACCTTTCCATTGCATTTTACAGGAGTAAGTGGGGGCCAGGCACATCCTTCCCCTCTGGGCTACCAATATTGGCCGAGAAAGCCGCGCTCAAGGCATTCCGCAAGGTGCAGCAAGTCTAAGCTCCTAGACTTGAGAGCACGCAACTTAAAACCCGTGGCGGCACAGCTCCAGTCCAGCTCGACCTGAAGTCTGCAGTACCGTCAGGCGAGTGCCCGGAGATTCTGCCATACGGTGCGCAAACTGAACCCGTCACCAGCTTCCCTAATGGCATCTATTCTCCGTAGCTCTGCAGAATCGAGGACTTCCCGTGGGGCTTCAAAACTGCTCATCTGGTAGAGGCTCCCAGAGTGCAGCGAAGGTCAGCGAGGGCCGCGTCCGCCTCTTGGAGCCACTCCCAGCTGCAGAGATTGTCCGAGCAGCCGCCTACCTCTCCCCGGCCGCCCCAGCTTCCATTATACACGCCCTCGTTTTCCTTGCGGAGCCCCAATTCTTTGAGCCAGGCATACTGGGGCTGATGGATCAGCAGAGTGGACATGAAGGCAGCGGGCCTGTTCAAGGGTCTTAGGAGTTTGCAGGTTCTTGCAGCGTGCACGCCTAGGGCGCGGCACAGACGCCACATCCTGAGTCCTAGGGTACGCCGAGCGCCTGCGTCGCGCGGAGCGGCTGAAATAGGAGCCCGCCCCCACTCAGGGAGCGCCCATTGGCTGGCAGGGCACACGCATCACCCCTAGCCCGTTCCCCCGCCCACTCCCGGGTCTTCCGGAGGAGCCCGGAGCTCAACCTCGGCCTGCAACCTCCGGCTTTCAGTGGGGTGGTTAAGTGCGAGGATTGCATCCTGTGGTGCTGATGCAGTCAAGAGCCAGGGATTCACCTGGCCTTTATGTCGGACGCACGTTCTCATTCCGCGGGTCTGTACTGAATCTGAGGGCCCCCAATTAGCATCACATTAGGATGTGAATTTAGTGTGTGTGTGTGCTCTGAAATAAACGGCTTCCACCCATTAATTTACTCCCAAGCCTATTTTAACACCAATGAACTTGCAGTCAGCCTTTCCAATAAAATAAATAAAAATTAAAATCTTTAAACAAAAGAAAAAAAGAAGCTTACAGCTTTTGACAGTCTTAGCTCCAGACATTGTGGTCATTTGGGGAGCAAACTAGTGGATGCAACATCTCTCTCTCTCTCTCTGTCCTATCTATGACTCTACCTTTCAAATAAAAATAAATCTTTTTTATACAACAGATCTTTAAGAAATTATTTTGTCATTAATAAAAGGCAGAGAGAGGAAGAGATAAAGAGTTTCCATCTACTAGTTTGCTCCCTAAACGTGCGCAACAGCTATGGCTGAGTCAGCCTGAAACCAAAAGCGAGGAACACCATCCGAGTGCTTCATGTGAGTGGCATGGATCCAAACTCTCGAGGCTCGCGGTGTTAGAACTCGCCACTGCCAGAACTCACTTCTGGAGGCCAACATTCACCTGTGAGAACAGCATCCATACTGACCCTAAGGGTCTCCCACGACGCCACACTAGGGCCAACCCTCCAACACCCAAACCCATGGGGGGAAACTCATACTCTATCAGAAAGTGGCACTACTATCCTGGGAGAACTATTGTTACTCAAGAGTTCACAAGCAACGATACTAGAGCAGAATGCTAGATTACTATTTTGCAGGGAGGACATCTTCAGAGAGCATCTTCCAGTCATATCCTGTCACTGCTGCATTCTAACCAAGAGAAAAAGTGCCTATCTGGTTGCTCAAGGAGGCCAGAAAGGCTCCTTAACACAAGAACTGCTCCTTAACAACCCAAGTCCTGATGTTGGCACTATGGATCAATGCATAAAGCAGCAGGCTGGCACCTGCATCCCCTATGGTATCGGTTGGCGTCCTGGCTGCTCCACTTCTGATCCAAATTGCTGATATGCCTGGGAAAGCACAGGGAAGGATGGCCCAAATGCTTGGGCCTCCTGCACCTGTGTGGGAGACCTGGAAGAAGTTCCTGCTTCCTGGTTTCACAGCCTGGCCAGCCCCAGCTACCGCAGACATCTGGATGAAAGATCTCTCTCTCTCTGTACATAACTCTGCCTTTCAAAAACACACACACATTCTTCAAACATATATACACTATATATGTACATATGTGCATTTAATAGCACAGGCTTCCCCAATGGAGATCTTGGAACTTGCTGTATCAATGACAAAGAATGTGGCTGATAAAAGAGCTGGCAAGAAGGTGCCTGGCAATGAGTTTCACTGGAAAAAGTGAAGAGACAGAACTTGCCACAGGTCGTAAGTTAGGCGGGCATCTTGGCAAAGGACCTAGAGCCCAGTCTGCATTCAGATGGGTTTTCATGGGCATTCCCCATTTCCTCTCCCTGGCCCCTTTTCTGGGAAAATCTAGGCAAGGGGGTTTTGGATGTGGAATTTCTGTAACTTCTCTCTTCTTCCCTGCCTCCCCACCCAGAGACAAAACTAGCCATCAAGGATTTTGTCTGTCAGAGAAGCAAATGACTCCTTCAGTCCAGTGACTATAACCTCGCCAGGCCACCTGCATCAACTCCCTCAGCTTGGTGGATTGCATTTCATTAAGGACAGGCAAGGGCACCTCGGACTAAGGCAGACAGACTAGAGGCTGGGTCCTGCATTCAGGACCTGTTGCCTGGTCTCACTGCACACAGACCTACTTTCTTTAAAACTTTCCATTATCTTCAGCCACTCTGACACACTTAGGTTAATATCTACCTAGTTGCCTTAATGACAATTAAAGTAGAGGTTGGCACTATGGTGTAGTGGGTTAAACCTCTGCCTGTAATGCTGACATCTCAGTTGGAGAAGGTTTGAGTCCCAGCTGCTCAGTTTTCCCTTCAGCTCTCTGCTAAAGGCCTGGAAAGGCAGTTGAGAATGGTCCAATACTTGGGGCCCTGCTCTTATGTGTGGAACTGGGAGGAAGCTCCCAGCTCTTGGCTTTGGATTGGGCAGTCTGGCCATCGAGGCCATTTGAGGAGTGAACCAGTAGAAGGAAGATATGTCTCTATCTGTCCTTCTCTATATAATTCTACCTTTCAAATAAAAATTAAAAAGAGTAAAAAACTCAAATTATAAGCCAATTCTAAAATTTGAATGGAACTACAAAGGATCTGGAACAGCCCAAACAATTTTTCAGGAAAGAAAAACATTTGTATTACCTAATTTCAAAGGTAGATCCTCATATGTACAATATCCATTGATGCTATCAAGCAAAATCAATAGGAAACAGCAGCATTTCCAACAAATGATGGCCTACTGATTTAATCTTCATATGCAAGGAAAGAGAGGGGTAGGGGAGAAGAGAGTATGCAAGGCAGGTTGACTCATACTGCAGACCATATATAATAATTAATTCAAAACTCACCACAGACCTAACACTTGAAAACTTCAAGAGAAACACAGAGGACAGTATCTCTCTGGGTGCTGCTGTACTCATCATAGAATGCTGAGTTACTGGGCCCGGCACAACAGTTCAACTGGCTAATCCCCCACCTCCAAGTGCCAGGATCCCACCCACGTGGTTGCCAGCTTGTGCCCTAGTTGCTCTACTTCCTGTTCAGCTGCTTGCATGCGGCCTAGGAAAGCAGCAGAAGACAGCTCAAGTCTTATGGATCCTGCACCCACATGGGAGACCTGGAAGGCATTCCTGACTCCTGGCTTTAGATCGGTTCAGCTCTGGCTGTTGTGGCCATCTGGGAAGTGAACCAGCAGATGGAAGATCTCTCTCTCTCCTTCTCTCTTTAAGTCTGCCTTTCAAATAAAAGTAAAAATAAAATAAATTATATATATATGTATATATATCTCCAGAAATATATGTATCTCTAGACATGATCAAACGCCCCCATCCGGGAACACCCCAGAGTTGGGGGGAAAAAACAGGGTTATTCTGTGTTCTGCAAACACAAAAAGCAGCAATCAGAAAACAAATCAATCCCTACGCTTGTAAGCATTAAATATGTGTGCTCCTCAAAGAACACTATCAAGTCGAACACACATTTCTGACTTTAAAAACAGACAAAAACAAAGCGAACATTCCTCCCCACCCCTTCATTAGAGCACACAGATAAACGTGAGCTCAGCTCTGCCTTCACTCGGGTGGTCTCCTGCCCGGAGCTCCCAGGCCCCCAGCGGGCGGACGGGCGCCCCCTCACCCCTCACACAGCCCCCTCGCCCCTCACACAGCCCGCCCGCCCCCTCACACAGCCCGCCCGGCCCCTCACACAGCCCCCTCGCCCCTCACACAGCCCCCTCGCCCCTCACACAGCCCGCCCGCCCCTCACACAGCCCCCTCGCCCCTCACACAGCCCGCCCGCCCCTCACACAGCCCGCCCGCCCCTCACACAGCCCGCCCGCCCCTCACACAGCCCGCCCGCCCCTCACACAGCCCCCGCCCCTCACACAGCCCCCCGCCCCTCACACAGCCCCCCGCCCTCACACAGCCCGCCCGCCCCCTCACACAGCCCCCCGCCCCTCGCCCCCCCCTCGCCCCTCACACAGCCCCCCCGCCCCTCACACAGCCCCCTCGCCCCTCACACAGCCCGCCCGCCCCCTCACACAGCCCCCCCGCCCCCTCACACAGCCCGCCCGCCCCTCACACAGCCCCCTCGCCCCTCACACAGCCAGCCCGCCCCTCACACAGCCCCCTCGCCCCTCACACAGCCCGCCCCGGCCGGCCTCGCGTTCCCGGCGTGGGGCGCTGCGAACCCGCCGTCCCCCGCGCGAGGGCGCCGGAGCAGCCGCCGCGCCGCCGGAAGTGCGCTCCTGAGGCGCCGGGCGCTCCCGCCACGGGAAGATGGCGCTGGAAGCGGGCGACATGGAAGATGGGCAGCTTTCCGACTCGGACTCCGACATGGTGGTCGCGCCCAGCGACAGGCCGCTGCCGGTGCCGGTAGGGACGGGAGGCGGCGGCGGGAGAGGGGCGGCCGGGCGCGCGGAGCGCCGGCCCCGGGGAGGCGGGGAGCGGGCGCGCGGAGCCTGCTGGAGGCGGCCGTGTGCCCTGGGCCTGCCAGGCCGCCGGTCGCGTTGTAAAACCTAGCGGCTTCCCGGGCCGGCGCCGGCACGTCGTGTGGCACGGACGCGCGGGGACCTGGGGGGCGAGGGCCCGGATCCCCTCCGCGACCCGCGGGGCCTGGCCGCAGCGCCCCACGCCCACCCGGCTCCCGGGCCGCGCGCGTTGCGGGGTGGCATGGCGCGGGCGCGGTGGCCCGCAGATGCGAAGCGCAGTGTTCAATGCGAGATGCTGCGGGGCAGCGTGTGTCCCACGGGCGTCCTGTTTGTGCAGGGCCGAGGAGGGGGTTGCAGGATGGCTGTGCTCCTCAAGGAGCGCTGCTCTCACTGGGCGCGCACCACCCGGCCAACAGCACCTTGTTCCCAGGAGTCTGTGCGGTTAATAATGCGGTGGTAGCTTTTTAAAGCGCCTACGACACTGCTTGTATATAAATGTCAGGAATTCGATACCAGTGTAATTTGTTCTTAGTGGTTTTCCCTAAATTGCTGTCACAAACTCAGCAGTTTGCCAAAGCAATGTTGGTGGGGGTGGGGGTCTGTGTGTGGCATGGCAGGTAAGGCAGCCTGCACACAGTGGTGCCCATGGTGCCGGTGTGCATTAGAGTCCTGGCTGGCTGCTCCACTTATTCATTTTTAAATTATTTATTGGAAAGTCAGATATACAGAGAGGTCAGATATGCAGAGAGGAGAGACAGAGAGGAAGATCTACTGTCCATTGAATCACTCCCCAAGAGGCCGCAGCAGCCGGAGCTGCCCCAATCCGAAACCAGGAACCTGGAGCCTCCTCTAGGTCTCCCAGGTGGTGCAAGATCCCAAGGCTTTGGGCCACCCCCCACTGCTTTCCCAGGTCACAAGCAAGGAGCTGGATGGGAAGTGGAGCAGCTGGGATATGAATCGTTGCCACATGGGATCCCAGTGCTTGAAAGCAGAGGATTAGCCGATTGAGCCATTATGCTGGGCTCAGCACTCCATTTTTCCTGCCTCTCTTCTTTCTTTGTACCTCTGGCTTTCAAATAAAAAAAAAATTTTTTTTGAAGTAACGTCAGGTGTTTCTGCTCATATAAGTTTACCTGCTGATCCAAAGGAAGGCAGTCACAAAGCTATATTAAGGACGTTGATGTGTTCATAGCCAAGATCGGTGGTATCTGGAAAGAAAGAAAACAATTCTAATTGCTAGAAACAGATTGTGGGCATTCGCAAGCATTAAGTGCTGCCTTACTTCTAGAAACAAGAATTGTACCTCCTCCAGCTCCCCAGGGTTTATTTATTTATTTGAGCACAGAGAGAAAGAGGTCTTTGATCCACTAGGTCGCTCCTCGGCTGCCTGCAATAATCAGGGCTGGGCTAAGCCAGGGGCCCAAGCACTTGGGTCGTCTGCTGCTGTTTTCCCAGGTGTATTAGTAGGGACTCAAATACGGGATGTGAGGTGTCCCAAACAGTGGTGTAACCGTTACACTATAACTATACCCACCCCTACCACATTCTTAGCTTTAAATTGGGTGTATTTCGTAAGATGTTTTTGCAGTCACTTCTGTTCCAAAATTGTCCAGTTGTGTATCTAAGTGAGTTTTTTAAAAGCTGTATGTGGTGGGTGGAGGGCATGTGCTTTGGGGAACTGACTGTATTGCCTTTGCTTTGCAGAAGGCTCTAGTGGGGGACAGCGCCATGAGGGGCTTCCAGAGCGCCACAGCAGCGTGTGCACCAGCAGCACACTACCGGACTGTTCAAAGTGTGGATTCAAGTGAGGAGAGCTTTTCTGATTCTGACGATGATAGCTCTCTTTGGAAACGCAAGAGGCAGAAGTGCATCAACCCTCCTCGCAGGCCAGAGTTTGACCAGGGCGGTCAGAAGCCGCCTGCTGCCGGCGGAAAGAAGGTGAACAACATCTGGGGCGCTGTGCTGCAGGAACAGAACCAGGATGCCGTGGCCACTGAACTGGGCATCTTGGGCATGGAGGGCACCATCGACAGGAGCAGGCAGTCGGAGACATACAACTATCTGCTTGCTAAGAAACTTAGGAGGGAATCTCAAGAACATACAAGAGATTTAGACAAAGAGCTGGATGACTATATGCACGGTGGCAAAAAGATGGGCTCAAAGGAAGAGGAGAATGGGCAAGGTCATCTCAAACGGAAACGACCCGTCAAAGACAGAGTAGGACCCAGGCTAGAAATGGACTATAAAGGCCGGTATGAGGTCACGGAGGAAGATTCTCCAGAGAAGGTGGCTGATGAAATTGCTTTCAGGTGAGTCCCTAAAATTGACCTTCAAGTGAGTCCTTGACTGGAATCTCCTCTGTTGGCAGATGTATTCATGATGCTGCTTTGAATTTTATTCGTTTTTTTTTTTTTTTTTCTTAAAGGATTTTGGGCTTATTTGGTTATGTGAATGTGTTTGTATTTCCTTAAACTTGGACACTCTTAAGAGAATAATCTTGGAGACTTTTATAACTTTAAGTAACTCTTTGCATTTCCTGCCAATGAACTCTTCTATAAGACCTTTTAAAAAGTATTTTATTTGAAAATCAGACAGTAGCTCCCATCCACTGGTCACTCCCTGAATGCCCACAACAGCCAGGTCTGGACCAGGCCAAAGCCAGGAGCTGGGAACCATCTAGGTTTACCACATGGGCTGTAGGGAGCCACAAATTCGGCCTAGCCTGCTGTCTCTCATTTACCAAGAAGCTGAGTCCGAAGCAGGACTAAGTCTTGAACCAGGGCTGTCTGACATGGGGTGCAGACATTGGCAGCAGCACCTTAGTGCCTGTGTAAATGGCCACCCCTTTTGTAAATCACGTCTCTTACATACGATAACACTTGTTTCTAGTATTGGGCTTTTTTGTTTTGTTTTGTTGTTTTTAAGCAAATTTATCAAGCTGTACAAAACTTTTTCCTATTTGTTTAATTTTATATATTTGAAAGACACAGAAAGAAAGAGATCTGCAATAGCCAGAACTGGGCCAGGCAAAGCCAGAGGGCAGGGACTTCATGATGGTTTCCTGTCTGGATGACAGGGACCCAAGTGCTTGAGCCTTCATCTGCTTCCTTCCCATGGTGTCCATTAGCAGAAAACTTGATCAGAAGCCCAGGCAGGACAGAGTCATAAGCACTCAGGGAATGCATGTGTACCAGGTATTGGCTTAACCTGCTGTGCTGGAACCCCAGCCATTTCCAGTATGACCATTTGGCAATTTACAGTTGTTAATCACAGTTCTTACTCCCATGCAACTTCCGATCTACTCTCTGTATAAATTTGCCTTTTCCAGGCATTTCACAGTAAGTGAAATTACACAGCTAACTTATTTCACTTAGTGTGAATGTTTTGAGTCATGCTGTAAGAACAAGTCAGTCCATCGTTGTGTGTGTGTGTGTGTCTCCATACTGAGTGGGTATCTTCTGTTGGGAACCTTCACCTGCACATATTTGGGCAAATATATAGCAGTAGTATTGCTTTTTGAGAGTTAAACTTACCATTCATGTATTTTTAAACTCACCTTTATTAAGTTTTCATTACATCTAAGTTGCTCATGTACAGTGTGTCACAAACTTGAAATTAGATATGGTTCAGGAGTAATATATGGGCAGACATTTGTACAGTAAGAGGTTTTACTGAAAAGGCAGGTTTAACTGAGAGAAGGAATGACAAGAAATCTTCCATCCGCTGGTTCTTTCCCCCAGATGCTTGCAATGGCCAGAGCTGAGCCAATCTAAAGCCAGGAGCTTCTTCCCAGTTTCCCACATGGATGCAGGGGCCTCAGGACCTGGGTCATCCTCCACGGTTTTCCCAAGCCATTAGCAGGGAGCTGGATGGGAAGTGGAGCAGCTGGCACCCATATGGGATATTGAGCACCCATGCTGGGCCCACACTAATATGAATTTTTATACTGGGAAAAAATGGATAGGGTCATAGATTTAGCTTCAGACCAGAACAAGGCCCTAGTTCCTTCGCTCTATCCTCGCTTGAAGACTGTCTTCTATTGAAGAGACAAGATGCCAGGTCTGCGAGACATTGGTGCTATTAGTCCTCCCTCTTTTGTACGAAGTGGTGGTTCTGACATCAGGAGACTGTCTTAGGCTCCCTGAGTTTTAACTGAAAGTGATAGTGTCTGCCTCATAACGTGGAAACACAGCTGTTGGACACAGTGTGTGTGAGGGTCTTAGTGTGTGTTTCTCCAGCGGTAGGAAGCTGTTGGCTAATTCAGCTATTTCTTTGTTGTTCTGGGACAGTGTGTGAGGGAAAGGGCCTGTTCTTTTGGGTCTTCAGGCAGCTCTGGGGTTAGGAAAGCTGAAAGCAGAGTTCAGCACATGTTTGGTGTGACAGGAAGTGGAGTGCTCTATCTTCTTTTGGATTTAGGCTTGCATCCACCTTCAGCTGTACATTGAAATCTGTTGCAGCCATTTGGGAGTGAACCAGCAGACAGAAGATGTTTCTCTCCTTTTCTCTGTAAATCTGCCTTTCCAATAAAAATAAATGAATGTTTGTTTTTTTTTGTTTTTTTAAAGCAAAGAAAAGCACATGTTAACTAGAATGAGATCTCTGTGGTGGAGAACTAAACTGGAGACTGGTAGATTTCTCCAACTCTGTCAGCATAGCAAGAGGTTAATTATACTTTATTTGTTCATGATCAGGTTACAGGAACCGAAGAAAGATCTGATTGCACGGGTAGTAAGGATAATTGGAAACAAAAAGGCAATTGAACTCCTGATGGAAACTGCTGAAGTCGAACAAAATGGTGGCCTTTTTATAGTGGTAAGACTGCTTGATTATTGTTTTTTCCTACTTTTCAATGTGATTTTGACAAACTTGCCTGTGTCTCTTATCCTTTATTATAATGTTTCATTTTTAAAAAACTGTTGGCATCAATGAATACTGAATTTTAAAACTCACAGCTTTTTGGCAACTAATACTTAATATTCACAAAGGTTGATATGTTTTAGTGTGTTAGTGTAAAGAGTGTATCTGACTCACTAAAGTTAGGGAGTGGAATTTTAGCACAACTGTGGAAGAGCTTAAGAACTTCAATTTTGTAGAATTGGGAGATGGTGTGTCTGTTTTTGGGTTTGAGTCAGCAGCTCACTGAGATTTAGCTGAAGTTTCTGGCTCGTTGGCATCTCGGTCTCCTCAGGTGTAAAAACGAACATCAGCCAACCTGATGCAGGTAAAGTGTTACCTGCAGTGCTCACTGCTTAGCAGCTGGAATGGAAGTGTTACCTTGGGTTCATTTAATTCACATTCCCTTGAAGAAGAGGACCAGAATCTCTTCTTTCACACATGAAGGGCAGATATATACACTATGGCCATCTAGTAGATCTGGTACTGTGGCACAGTAGGTTAAGCCTTCCCCCCTGGGTTGTTGGCAACACCTGAGTGCTGGTTTGGTACTTGGCTGCTCCACTTTCAAGCCAGTTCTTTGTTCATACACCTGAGAAAGGAGCAGCAGATGGCCCAAGTGCTTGGGACCCTACACACCTGGGAGGGCCAGAAGAAGCTGAGGTTTCTGTCTTTGGCCTGGCCAAGTGTTGACCATTGTGGCCACTTGAGGACTGAACCTGCACATGAAGATCTCTCTCCCTCCTCTGTCCCTCCCCTCTCTATAAATTTGCCTTCCAAAAAAGATATTAAACATTTCATGGGTCGTAGGGGTGGAAGAAAACTCTCATGTGAAGGGATGTTGACAAGAGTTGAGAGCCTCTGTGGGCTGAGAATGACAGAGCGCCCTTTGGGCTGGACCAAACCATGGGCGGCAGCGGTCACTCACCGTGCTGGACAGCTATACAGACCTCAGTTCATGTTTTCACTGCAGGGTGAGCATGAAAGTGAAATGGCTTCCTTTCCTGCTTCTCATGAGTCTTGAGTGGTAGCATCACAAGAGAGTGGATTAGCATGCTGTGGAGACAGAGAAAAGAAGCACTTAGCATTGGCTGTGGTAACAGATTCTGAGCCTAAATTTCAGATACTAAAATGGAATTTGGCAGTGTAGCAATGGGGAATAATCAGAATGCACTCCATCCCTGCTTGTGTTCCTGTTGCTCGACTAGTTTCATTCCGTGTACACAAGAGTTTTAGATGCATCAGTAACTTTAGCATTGTACTAATATAACTTGAGAATCCAGTGAGCTGATGCAGGCTAGAAGCCAGACTAGAAGCTGGGAAAATGGAAATCCACATTCATTTTCCTTAGATATGTTCTTTTCTTTTTCAAAAAGTAAGAAGTATTATTATTTTGATTGAGAAGTCAGATTTACAGAGAGAAGGAGAGAGAGGAAGATTTTCCATACATGGTTCACTGCACAAGTGGCTGCAGTGGCCAGAGCTGAGATAATCTGAAGCCAGGAGCCAGGAGCTTCATCTGGGTCTCCCACATGGGTATAGGGTCCCAAGGCTTTGGGCCATCATCTCCTGCTTTCCCAAGCCACAGTCAGGGAGCTGGATGGGAAGTGGAGAAGCTGGGATATGAACCAGAGCCCATATGGGATCCCGGTACATGGAAGACGAGGACTTTATCACTAGGCTACTGTGCCGGGCCCTGGATACGTTCTTTTCGGAAAACAATTCATTGAGTACCTGTTGGGTACCAAGCAGTGTTCTCGAACAAAGAGTGTATCTTAAGAGGTGAGAAGGAGACAGTCTATAAACAATAAATATAACATTGTCAACATTAGAAAGTGGCACATCCTGGGGGAAGGGGAAGGATCAGATGGCGCTGGAGGAAGCAGAGGAGGGAAAGTTGAAGGAAATGAATGTGATGAGGGCAGAGCTCGTTAAACTGTCTTGAAGAGGGGAAAATGGCAAGGCAGACTAGGCTGCATGGGCAGTTTACTTCCTTTGGATAGAAAAATTGAGGAACTCCTGGAAATGCCCAATAATCAAGATAGAACATATTGAAACATCAAAATTCATGCAAAAAAATCTGCAGTAGGCATTTTAAAAATTTTCGTTTCAGTTGATAAAATCCACTGGTTCACTCCCCAATACCCACAACAGCCCTGGCTGGGCCAGGCCAAAGCCAGCTCAGAGCTCAGCCCAGGTCTCAGCTGCCTCCCACAGTGCACCTCAGCAGGAACTGAAATCAGAAGCAGAGCCAGGAAATCAGCCTGAGCACCGTGCTAGGCGTGCCGGCATCCTCAGCAGCGTCACTGGCACAGAGCTAGCGTTTATTTTTAATTATGTATTTGAAAGGCAGAGCAGTGGAAAGATCTTTCGTCTGTTGGTGCACATGTCTGTACCTGGACAAACCCGGGACGTGGTCCTGCCACGTGGGTGGCAGGGGTCCAAGGACTGGAACAATAATTGCTATTGCTTTGGAGAGTAGCGGGAAGCTGGATTGGAAGCAGAATAACCAGGACTGGAACCCATGGTTCAGTGTGGGTTGCTGTCCTCACAAGCAGCAGTGGGAAAACTGTCCGTTTCTGTGTATATTTGGAAGGTAGAGCCAGCAGAATATCCTAATGGATTAGATGGAAGAAATAAGAAAAAGAAGAGTTAGGGTGGGCGATATGAAAAAAATGGGTTAGGCTGCTGCTTGGGACACTGATATCCAGTATGAGGATGCCTGGGCTGAGTTCTTACTGTTACTGGCATTCTGGGAGAGAACCAGCTTGAAGAACCTTTCTCTTCATCTCACTCTACCTACCAGATAGATACACTAAAAAAAAGAAGAAGAAGAAATGGCCCAGCATGGGAGCCTAGTGTCTAAATTCTCGCCTTGTCTTGCATGCTCCAGGATGCCATATGTGCACTGGTTCTAATCCCAGCAGCCCCGCTTCCCATCCAGCTCCCTGCTTGCGGCCTGGAAAGCGGTCAAGGACAGCCCAAAGTCTTGGGACCCTGCACCTATCTGGGAGACCCGGAGCAGAGTCCTGGTTCCTGTCTTCAGATTGGCTCAGCTCCAGCTGTTGCAGCCACTTGGGGAATGAACCAGAGGCTGGAAGGTCTTTCTGTAAATCTGACTTTCCTGTCAAAATAAACACATCTTTAAAAGAGAGAGGAAAAAGAGGCATAGTTGTTGTGCAGCAAGTTAAGCCAGCACTTGGAACACTTCCATATCCAAGTTCCAGCTCGGCTTCTCTTGCAGCTCCCTGCTATCATGACTGGGTGATGTCTCAGGTACCCGGGCCCTCCTGCCCTCATCGGAGGCCTGGATGGAGTTCCCTGCTCATGGCTTCCACTGGGCATGGTCCCGCTGAAGTAAATTTTTAAATAAATATAAATCGGGCCCGGCGCGGTGGCGCAAGTGGTTAAAGGTCCTCGCCTTGCACGCCTGGGATCCCATATGGGCGCCGGTTCTAATCCCGGCAGCCCCGCTTCCCTTCCAGCTCCCTGCTTGTGGCCCGGGAGAGCGGTCGAGGACGGCCCAAGGCTTTGGGACCCTGCACCCGCGTGGGAGACCCAGAAGAGGTTCCTGGCTTCGGATCGGCATAGTATCGGCCCGTTGCGCTCACTTGGGGAGTGAATCATCGGACGGAAGATCTTCCTCTCTGTCTCTCCTCTCTGTATATCCGCCTTTCCAATGAAAAAATAATAAAAATAAATCTTTAAAAAAAAAATAAAATAAAATAAATATAAATCAATAAATCTTAAAAAAAAAAAAAGGAATTTTTGTTTTACTCTTGATTATTGTAGTTTTATTTTAGTGGCACATTGGTTTAAATTGACTTTTTACATCGATTTCTGCTGCATTCATTATCTTTTTTGAACTTTCTTTATTTGAAAGGCAGAATTAGAAAGAGACCTTCCATGCACTGGTTCATTTCCCAGCAGCCAGGGCTGGGCCAGGCAGAAGCCAAGAGCACAGGACTCCATCCTGAACTGCTTTAATTATTGACTATGATGTGTCACTCATTTGACCAGATGTCACAAAGGAGCAGAATGCTTAGTCATTTGTTAGCTTACTTGAACTGCACCTGTCACCAAGTAGATTTTATAAATCATAGATTTTATAAATCAGACATATAAAAGACTGTAGGAGTCACATTGGGACTGGACTTGAGATCTGCTAGTCCTGGCGTTGTTTAGGTGTATCTGTTAACCCATGCCATGGCCCCTCATGAGGAAAGTCTGTGCACTTTTTGTGTTTCTTTTTGTAGAATGGGAGTCGAAGAAGGACACCAGGTGGAGTTTTTCTGAATCTTTTGAAAAATACCCCAAGTATCAGCGAGGAGCAAATTAAGGTAAAGATGACATCCTTTTAAGGCCCACCATGATGCAGCTTTCCCGCAGCCTCCAACCAACTGCATTTCCTGTTCATCTTCCTGGGCCACTCTGCTTCTAATGGACCAGTTCTGACATTGTGCCTTGTGTAAATCTTTGTCTCTTTTTTCCCTCCCTTTTAGGCATAAGGTCTTTTTCTTTTCTTTAATAGAATGCTTTTTCCTTCTCTTAGCATGTAATTATTTTTTCCTTCCTCCTGAAATGTTTTAATTTAAGAAGCAGACAGTGCTGTCATCCTCTGTTTCTCTCCCCAGTTGTCCTAACCAGTCTTAGCCTAGATCTCCCATGTTGGTAGCAAGGACCAGCAACATAAAGTCGCTGCCTCCAGGAATCAGAAAAGTTATTTTACTATTTGAGAGGCCTACTGAGAGGGAGAGAAGCAGACAGAGAGAGAGGTAGGAAAAAAGGGAATGAATTCACTTCTGTGACCAGAGATGCATTCGTGAACATGGAGCTTTCATGATGCAAATACCTTTGTTTTGTTTCATTTTGTTTTGAAGATTTTTGAGAAAACTATCCACTGGTTCAAACCCCAGATCCCCGCAGCAGCTGGGGCTGGGCCAGTTTGAAGCCAGGAGCCATGGACTGCCATCCTTGGGCCATTACATGCTGCCTTAGCAGGGACCCTGGTCAGAACTGGCACTATGACATGGCAGGCTGTTGTTGTGAGCAGTGACTTTGCACCACAATGCCCGTCCCCTCCGACATACCTCATAAACTGGAAAAAGGGCACTCAGTATGCTTAATATTTCTTGAAATGTCTTCTATAGGGATTCTTTTGCAGCATGGTTCACCCCCCCATTCCCCCCCATATAGATGTATTTTATTTTTATTGGAAAGTCAGATATATAGAAAGGAGGAGAGATAGAGAGGAAGATCTTCCATCTAGTGATTCACTCCCCAAATGGCCACAACAGCCAGAGCTGCGCCGATCCTAAGCCAGGAAGCAGGAACCTCTTCCAGGTTTCCCGCACGTGTGCAGGATCCCCCAAACATTGGGCCATCCTCAACTGCTTTCCCAGGCCACAAGCAGAGAGCTGGATGGAAAGTGGGGCTGCTGGGATTAGAACCAGTGCCCATATGGCATCCTGGCACGTTCAAGGCGAGGACTTCAGCTGCTAGGCTACTGCGCTGGGCCTTACAACATGGTTTTTAACAAGTCAGAATTCAGTACTCAGTTAATCTTGTGCTTTGGGTTAAGCCTCCATTTAGAACATACACAGGCGGAAGTGCCACCTCTAGTCCTAGCTGCCTTGCACTTCTGATCCAGCTTCCTGCTGAGCACCCAAGGAGGCAGCAGGCCATGACCTTAGTGCTAGGGCCCCTGCCACCCACAAAGGAGACTTGAGTCTCCTGGCTCCCAGCTGCAGCCTGGCATTTGGGGAGTGAAACAGCAGACAGATTTTCTCACTCTCAGTCCTTTTGCCACTGTACCTTTTGGATAAATAATATATATTTTTTTTAAGAGTTAAAAAAAAAAGGCCATAGCCTAGTGACTAAATTCTTACCTGGCATGCCCTAGGATCCCATATGGACACCTGTTCATATTCCACTTGCTCCAGAGTCCATCAAGCTCTCTGTGCCTCTCTTTCCTGTGGCCTGGGAAAGCACTGGAGGCTGGCCCTAGGTCTTGGGACCCTGCACATGCATGGGAGACATGGAAGATGTTTTTGGCTCCTGGCTTCACCTCGGCTCAGTTCTGATGGTTGCAGCCACTTGGGGAATGAGCCAGCAGATGGAAGATCTGTCTCTGTTTCTGCTTCTCTCTGTAAATCTGACTTTCCAGTAAAAATAAATATTAAAAAAAAAAAAAAAACTCATCTGGTTTCCTTCATGGTTTCCTTCATGGGTGTCCAGGGTTCAGTTACTTGTGCCATCCCCCTGCGGCTGTCCCGTGTGCATTAGCAGGGAGCCGCATCGGAAGTGGAGCAGCAGTCGGGATGCCAGCCAGGATGCTGTTCCGGCGTTTGGTAGGTGGCCTGATACCGGTGCGGCCGTAACTTCGGTTTTATCATAGCAATCAGTTATAATGACGTTTCAAAGTTAGCGCGTCTTTGTTTCAAGGACTTCTCCTTTCTTGTGGGATGAATTGTTACTTAAACTTAACCTGAACACATCGTTTTCCTACTCTATCATTTGGGAAACTTAAAATGACCGAATTGATGAGTTAGGGGAGAATGTCAGCTTTGATCTTAACTTGCAGTGGAAACTTACTCCATATCTTGGACTCTAATAATGAACCTACTGTTTGTTTTCTGGGGGAAAAGGAGGTGAGTACAGAATCTGCCATGTGACCTTACTTAGTAAGTGTTAACTTCTTGTTAACTAAAGTTGTTCTTTTATCACAGGACATTTTCTATGTTGAAAATCAAAAGGAATATGAAAATAAAAAAGCTGCAAGGAAAAGGAGAACACAGATACTTGGGAAAAAGATGAAACAAGCCATTAAAAGTCTAAATTTTCAAGAGGAAGATGATACCTCACGAGAAACTTTCGCAAGTGACACAAACGAGGCGCTGGCGTCTCTTGATGAACCCCAGGAAGGACACGGAGAAGCCAAGCTGGATGCAGAGGAGGCCATTGAGGTGGATCACTCTCACGAGCTCGACATCTTTTAAGTACCTTTTGGACATCTGAGGAATAAGCCTTTCTAAGATATCAACATAATAATTTCTACTGAGATTGCTTTGTTTTACTTTGCACTGAAGTACATAGAGAGAACTGTTCCTTGTTTTAAATAAAAAATGTGGGAGACAAAAGCAATTAACATTTAACAATGGCTAATGGCTGCTGAAACACTGAAGTCTCTAACACAAGTTTAATTCTCAGTCGGCTGCGTGTGAACTGCTGTGAGAAGCACTCGGTGATTACCAGTTGTGGCTAGGTCATAACATGCCATTCACATGTTCATTTCTTTTTGTGATTTATCTTTGGTGAATTATGCTTTGATTTAAAAACATTCCGTTAAAAGATCCAGACCAGATGCTCAGATTGTTAGGCTGTCACTAATGCATTCAAAATTGTTTTTCTATATCCAAGAACTCTTAGGCAGTTGTAAGAATAGAGACTAATTAGGTTTAGACTAATTTTTCCTCCCACATACTGTTTATCCAGAAGTAAATAAATGTCAGAAACTTTACGAAGAAATATTGGTTCTTGGCTTTGTTTTTCACTTCTTACTAATTAGGAATCTAATTTACATCTGTGTATTACTGTGAACTTTTCTTTAAAATTTCCCACTGATGGCCTGCTTAAGAAAGTTTTACCTTATGTTAAGGAACACAAGAATTTAAACTGATGTATCATAAAGTTTCTAAGTTTTCATTTTTATTGTAAACATAGTAAAAAGGGAAAACATAGTTTATACAACATGTTCCAGGAGGTACTAGCTCATGAAGCATCTTAAAAATGTGTATAATTTAAGTAAAAGTGTACATTATTCAGCAGTTATAGATTATTCTTTATAGTTACTGTACTTGAAGTTTTTCCAAGAGTTTCTGAAAAATATGAGCATTGAAGTTGGATATAAGAAAAATGTACTTACTGGTTGCTTTTTACTTACATAGAGTGAATAAATAAAATGGTTTTGTCATTCCTTAATGAACTTCAGGTGACTTTCATAAAATTGCCATTCCAAGGACAGGCATTGTGGCACTGTGGGTTAAGCCACTGCTTGATATTCCTGCTTCTCGTACGAGTGCTGGTCCAGGCCCCATCCGGCTCCCAGCTTCATGTGCAAGTGCTAGGGCCCTGCCACCCATGGGGGAGACCAGGATGTTCCTACCTCTTGGCTTTAGCCTGGCTCAAGTCCAGCAGTTGTGAGCGTTTGGAGAATGAAGCAGAGGGTGCAATATTTCTGTCTTTCCTTTCGTGGCTCTGCAACTAGAATAAAATATTCCTATTACTGAAAGAATACCTCAATATTCTAGTAGGGGTGGTATAGTGGGTTAATCCTCCACCCTGTGGTACCACAATCCCATACGGATGGCGGATGTTGTCCCGATTGCTCCACTTGTGATCCAGCTCCCTGGTAAAGCAGCAGAGGATGGCCCAAGGCCTTGGGACCCGAGACCCAGAAGAGGCTCCGAGCTCCCAGCTTCAGATCAGCTCAGCTCAGGCCATCTGGGGAGTTAACCACTAGATGGAAGACTATGTCTCTACTCTAAAAATTAGCCTTTCAAATTAAAAGAAGCAAATCTTTATAGAAATAATTATTTTAGGTGGCCACCCATATATGTTACTTACAGGAAGTTTTTTTTTAAATTGGAAAGTCAGTTATACAGAGAGAAGGAGAGACAAGAAGATCTGTCTCTGATTCATTTCCCAAGTGACCACAATGGCCAGAGCTGAGCCAATCCAAAGCCGGGAACCTGGGGCTTCTTCTGGGTCTCCCACATGGGTGCAGGGTCCCAAGGCTTTGGGTCATCTTAGACTGCTTTCCCAGGCTGCAAGCAGGGAGCTGGATGGGAAGCGGGGCTACCAGGATTAGGACCGGTGCCCATATGGGATCGTGGTGTGTACAAGACGAAAGCTTTAGCCACTAGGCTACCGTGCTGGGCCCTTAGAGGTTTTTAAAGAAAGTACATGTTGAGCTGCTGCTGCTGAGACTCCCATGTCCCACATCAGGGTGCTGGTTTGAGTTCTGGCTCTGCCTAGGATCAGAAGATGGCCCACCCAAGCGTGCAGGTGCCTGTCATCCACTGGGGAGATCCTGATGGAGTTCTTGGCTCTTGGCTTCAGGCTCGCCCTGCCTTAGCTGCTGTAGGCACTCAGGACGTGAGCTGGCAGTTGGAAGATGTTTGCCAACTCTGCCTTTCAAGTCAAAACATAAATCATTTATTGATTGGTTAGGAAAAAAATGGTCACAGGCCTGGCACAATGGTTCAGTGGCTAAACTCTCACCTTGCATGTGCCAGCATTTCATATGGTGCTGGTTTTTGTCCTGGCTGCTTCACTTCCCTTCTAGCTACCTGCTTGTGGCCCAGGAAAGCAGTAGAGGACAGCCCTGTACCTGCTTGGGAGACCCGGAGGGCACTCCTAGCTTCTGGCTCCTGGCTTCAAACTGGCTCAATTCCAGCCATTGCCTTGGCCAATAAACCAGTGCACTGAAGATCTTCTGTCTGTTTCTCTCTGAAAATAGCCATTGCAATAAAAATCAGTCAATCTTAAAAAAAAAGTCACCATTCAGCTTATGGCTAATTTTTCTAATCAAAGTTAAGGAATTACATTTTTTATTTTGAGAGACCTCCCATCTGCTGGTTCATCTTGCAGATGCCCCGGACAGCCAGGAATGGAATTGGCTGGGGCCAAATGCAGGAACCAAGAACACAATCCAGGTTTTCCATGTGGGTGGCAGGGATCCACAAACTTGTGCCATCATTGGTGCCTCCCCAAGGCCACACTCACAGGAAGCTGGAATCAGAAGCCAGGAATGAGTATCAAACTTGGGCAGAAGTGAGTAACATAATGACCAGGTCAAACACCCAAAAAGTTAAGTTTCTAAAAGTTAAGATATCCATGCCTGCAGTGCTGGCATCCCACTTCTGATCCAGTTTCCTGTTTATGGCCTGGGAGAGCAGTCCCTGCAGTTCACACGGGAGACCTGGTAGAAGTTCCTGGCTCCTGGCTTTGGCTCAGCCCAGCTCCAGCTATTGCAGCTATTTGGGGAGTAGATGGAAAGTCTCTTACTTTCTGATGCTTTGAAATAAAAACAAAAGGGCCTGGTGTGATGGCTCAGTGGCTAAATCCTCACTTTGCAAGTGCCAGGATCCCATATGGACACCAATCTGTGTCCTGACTGCTCCACTGCCCATGAAGCTTCCTGTTTTTGCCTGGAAAAGCAGTGGAGGACCATCAAAGCCTTGAGACCCTGAACCTGTGTGGGAGACCCAGAAGTTCCTGGCTCCTGGCTTTGGTGTGGCTCGCCTCCCTTCTTTGTGGTCACTTGGGGAGTGAACCCACGAATGTTGCATCATTCTCTCTCTCCTCTCTGTAGATCTGCCTTTCTGATAAAAATAAATCTTCAAAAAAATTTTTTTTAAAGATTATTCTTTTGCTTACCTGTCTGGTTAGTTTTCATAAAAGTCTGTTTACCATTTTCACACATTCTAGCTTGTATTGCATCCTACTGTCATGCAGAAATAACACTTCATTGTTTCCTTTAAAAAAAATTGTACAATGAAATTGCTGTAAATGTGTTTATCTAAATACAGGAAGCTGCCTGATATGCTTTCAGTTATTTCTCTATAAAGAGCATATTTTACAGAGGTTCCTCCTGCTCTGCCTAGCAGCATTCCTACTTGACAGCCAGTGAGAGTTAGTTTGAACCATCTTCACTCACAGGTGCCGGTCTGCACCCAGGACCTTTCTGGGCTGGCGTTGTGGCACAGGGCGCTGAGCTGCTGCTTGGACTGTGTGCATCCCCTAGTGGAGTGTGGCTTTTGCAACCTGTCTCCTCTACTTCTGCCCCAGCTTCCTGCACATGCACTTCCTGGTAGGCAGCAGGCAACAAGGCTTACATGCTTGAGGCTCTGTCAACCACATGGGAAAACAGATGGAATTTGGGCTGGCCTGGCCTAACCCTGGCTGGCATGGCGTTTGGGAGAATAAATTAGCAGATGGAAGTACCATCCTTGTGTATCTCTCTTTTGATCTCTCAAATAAAAAATTAATATAAATATTTTGAAATCAGTTTTTATAATCTAAAATATTCAGTATAATACGACTGATCGGCTTAGGTTTAAGCAAATAGGGCTGGTGCTGTGGTATTACAGGTAGAGTGGATTGAGCAGGGCCTACATCACTGGCATCCCATATGGAAGTTGTGGAGTCTTGGCTGCTCCAATTCTAACCGAGCTTCCTGCTAATGGCCTGGGAAAGCAACAAAAGATGACCAAGTACTTGGGTCCCTGCACCAGTGGGAGACTGAACAAGCTCCTGGCTCCTGGCTTTGACCTGGCCCAGCCCCTGTCACTGTGACCACTTAGGGAATAAACCAACACATTTAGCTATTCTTCCTCTCTAACACTTTCAAACAAGTAATTAAAAAAAAATAGCGAAGTTACAGAGAGGGAGAAGGAGAGACAGAAAGAGAGATGTTCCATTCACTGGATGACTCCCCAACTGACTGTAGCATCCAGGGCTGGTCTAGGCTGAAGCCAGGACCCTACAACTTCATCCAGGTCTCCCACCTGCTTGGCAGGGGTTCTAGAGCTTCAGCCACAATCACTACACCTCAGAGTGCATTTCAGGGAGTCAGACTGGAAGGAAAGCAGAGCTCAAACAAGGGCCTTGGTACCACGTCTAATGCTGACCTTGCAAGTGCTGACTCAATGTGCTGCATCATTATGTCTGTTCATACCCCGATTTTTCAGTGAATTATGGTAATGTTTCCCTCCAGAAGGGAAATTGCTTTAGAAGAAGCAGTTTCCAGCTGAGAGTGTAACTGCTAAGGGTTGCTATGAAGTTAACAAAGCATTGTTACATCAGAGGCAGCAGCATAACTGGGCAGCAAGTTAGTGTTGTTCCAGGTGAGTATTCCTCCACTGCCCGCAGGATGGCTGCTGGAAAAGACATTTGTCCACTCTTTCCTAAGCTCACCAACAACTATTCTGATGAGAGCTGCTGCAGACCAGTGACCAAGTGAGAACTTGTGGGACCTAGAGGCCTGGTTGTTTCTGCTTTTATTTTGCCATTTGGGTGCTGTATGGATGCATGTTTCTCCTTCGCATCTACATAGAAAGCCTTTGTGTGTATATATATATATAAAACATATATATGTTGCAGGAAACACAGGTCTCTGAACTGTATATGTTCAGACTCTGAGTTTGTTACTCTGTTCTGTAACTGTGCAGAGAGTTCCTTTCCCAAATGTGCTGTCTTTTCTGTTAAAACTGAATTAAAATGGATATCATGGGCCAAGTAGGGGAGAGGGTACCTGGCTGGAGACACTGGTGCCCAGCCCTGACTCCAAGATGGGGATACTAATAAGTAGGTGACCTCAAGTGGCACACCTGTTCTTCCCGCCTCCAAGCCAATCCAAGCATGATGGACACGTGATCATCCCTGTTCCCAACAACGGCACTAAAGTGATGGCTTTAATTTATGCTTTCCTCCTCTTCAGGCACAAGGACATCCATTTGCCACGG